AAACACACATACTCCAATCAGCAAAAAAAAGTCTTTCCTTTTTTTCCCGATAAGCCAATTTTTTTTGTCGGACCCACTTGATATAACTATATTGTATACTTCATGTATGACAAACCTAAATTTAAAAAAACATGGATATCAATAAATTGTTATCCTCGTAATAACTGTCAATTTGCCGTGCGTCGGACTGCAAAATCGGTAAAAGTATTTTGTCGGACAATGTTAAAATATCATTATAAGACATATCTCAAGAAATGTTGCTAATATCAGCTGGAATCTATTAAATTTTTTCGATAATATTTTTGACGTTTCACTCGCGTAGACACCCCTAACGCTCCAACATTTTGTCCGACATTGTTTTTCAGTGAGTTACCAAATGTTCCCTTTTTCGATTAAAACTTTTTAGAAACACAGTATCTATGTAAATTTATTACGATACCAAAATTAGTATTTTCGAACAAGAAATGGAGGAGAACGGCCAGCGAAGCCGAAAAAATTTCATGAGATAGAAAAAAGTGGTAGACTCGCCATAATGAAGCGGATACAGAAGTTACAGGAGGGTATTAATAACTAGCCATTTATGCAGCAGGCACTCAGACTATTAATAGATTCGATTTCGTTTGTCGTTTCTTTGATTATTTGTTGACAAACTGTCTCCCTTCAAAGTATACTGCGAGTATTGCTTTAGTCGGGATTATGATAGGGCGATCCTCGTTCTTCTCTTGTATAATTTTTTCATTCAAGTAGGAAAAGTCACTAGAAAAATCACCATTTTTGTAAAAAAATGTCTTTACTTGAGAAGATAAACACCGTCCATTCAATGGCGTATTCAAAAGCAGAAGAAAATTTATAGGTTGCAATATCACGTAAACATAGAATATGAAAATTTGTTTAGTGAATAAATAGGAAGCATCTACTAACAAGGTACAAGGAAATGTCAAAGGTATTTAGACCGCTTTACATGAGAATACTGTGTGCGTGATCTGTATTACGATACATAATATGCCTCAGAGTTTATACAAATACACTTCGCAGACTTTGGAAATTTAAATTGCTCGTCGCAATGAGGCAGAGCATATTTAAGCTATAAAGTACGGCGACACTAGCGCCGCCGTAAAGACTTTTTGTTCGCCAGTAGCCGTAGTGATACGATGGCACAAAACTTTCAGCTATCTTAAAAGCAAATGGTGGTCTGCCCGAAAGTGTCCTAGTGCGGCCCCTAAAAATTTTACACTGGAGTGAGCCGCCGATGCTGGGTTCAGTGTCGCCTAAATTTGTTAAATATCCTTCTACAAGACTACAACTGATGGGAAAGAATTACGGGAAAGTTAGAAGAGCGTTTGAAGCAGTTCAATCATTACAAATCTGATTGCCACAAAGATTTTGAGAAAGAAAGTGTTTCATAGGCGACTATATTTTTTGGTGTTTATTTTCAAACAAAAATTTATTGTAGAGAGCTTTTAAAATCATGAACTATATTTGCATTTAAAAAAATCAGCTTACTTACTTACCTAAATAATGAGAGAACTTTAACAGAAGGCCTCACTTGCAGTACTGCTTGATTTTCCAACCTGACAGACTTTTTTTAAAAAAAGTGACACCGTTTTAAACTTCTCTCACAACTGTAGTTACCTTGTTTCTGCACAAAACTATTATAATATGACAAACTAGGTCTACCAAATCGTGCGGAAATCCCGATAAAAAGTAAATAGCCTAATGTGAATTGGCCCCTACTTTTAGAAAGCAAGTAATTTCGTTTTTGAAATGATTGTGCATTGTATGTGCTCCTTTGCACACGAATTGCATTAATTGCCCCCGGTGGTTTCCAAATTACAAAACTTAAAATTTGGGAGGGCCAAATTCATAACTGCTCCCAAATTTTCTAAAAATATTTTTTCACATAGCACCGATTGCGCTGAGATTGCGCCCCGAATACTTCGGTTGGCCCTTGCCGTTTTCAGTTATTCAAATACAACATTCCATACTGTTCCCCTAGTATTCCAATTTAGCGTTTTTTTTAGTGATCGTATGCGCCTTGGTTTGTGCCCCGAATACTATCTATGCGCCCGTGAATTTTCTAGTATTCCAAATGAAAACGAAAACGAAATTTCTGCTTTTTAATTGGGAGCCAAATCCGCCAACCGTCGCGAACCAGTTAGTGTCTTTTTTTTTGTTAATTCCAGTATTTAATGAAACGTCACTTACACATAAAAAAAACTCCTTTCTCGAGGTCTTTCAAACACACCGCCAATCATCATTACACTTGATAACGCAGCTTCGCCAAACGCGCCATGCGCTGTACTCTTATTATAATGAAATAAAAGTGATGGAAATTAAAATTAAAGTAACCAATGTGACTCATTCCGAGCAGTTTTTTGTGTTATATTCTAGAAACGTGCGTAACACAATACACATTATGGTAAGCGAAACGCCATCTCTTACCGCATTCATTTATGCGTTAGCATTTGAGAACACTCTTCTCTTCATAAACCTACCAGTAAAAGCCCTGACTGTTTTTTCAGTAATGCTCCCTAAAAACCTAGTACGATTTTCCTCCTTGCATTTTTGTAAATTTATACTTTTAAAATACTTTTATGATTTCAATAGCGCTTACTAATATTACGCCTTACGCAAAATTCTTTTCGTTCAACCAATCAAAAACCCTCAGATAAAAAGATAGGATCTTCGAATTGTTTATGAAAAAATAAGCTAAAAATGTACTATTGCTATACTGTACATTTATTTATACACTTGTAAATATTTAATATTAATATTTAATGCGCTATATGATTGAACTTTTATTTTATGAGAGGTAGGATATGTTCCACCTCACATCCTTTATTTTACTTATAACCCGCGGCGTTCCTTAAATTGCTCCCTTCCTGTTGCTACATGATGATACAGAAATATTCATTCAAATTTCGCTATTCAATCTCCATTTTTGGATCAAAATTAAATTCCTTCCTCAAATTGTTTGCCCGAAACTTTCTAATTTTAACGGGAGGGTGGCGCTGTTCTAGATGAAAAAGTTCCGTAAACAAATTTAGCCCGGTATACAGATAATAAAGGGTTATATTTGATGCTATTAAAAGGGTAACATAAAATAAGTGGTTCATTAAAAGTTTTAAAGTCATCCTCTCTCTATCTGTGTGACTTGTTTTTCCGTCCGTTGAATAAAATGCTACTTCCTGCGGCTTATTATTGAGACATTAATTTACATGAAGAGGAAGCACGGAATCCCACACCGGCCAATAAATTGCATAATTGATGAGCACACAGTAACCTCGGTCATTATTTAGGTAGCTTCAGATAAACTATCAGTTTGGTAGAAAGTTATGTTTTGTGGGAACGGGTGGATACATTTCAACACTACACAAGTTACCAATCAACAGATAAGCAAGTTGTATAGCCTCATTTGAAGTGGAAACTACAGCCAGTAACTTTATCGGACACCTGAACTGCGGAAACGTTCATAGGTACATCTTTCTCCAAATTGTCTAAACCACAAGAAATACACTTGGATTTCTTTGTTGTAATTAATTAATTAAAGTAACGACGTTCGCAAATAAAGCTAACGCGATTTAATTAGCACTGATTGATCTCCGCGAATATCCTATGTATACATCGATTTAGAAAGTGAGTAATTAGTTGCACCCTCGTCAACTTACCGAAATTGTCATATAGCAGGTGATGATGACCATCACCGCTTTCGTATAATTATAATGTCGCAATTAAGATTTTCTTGTTAGTTAGAAACCAACTGGAACTAACTCGAAATTTTGTAAAAGTCTCCCACATAATGAGCACCAGAGGAAAAGAGGTTTTTAATATGAATAAGACCATTTTTCCTGCTTTGGTTAAATATAGTAAAGCGTTCCCGTAATATTTCTAAAAGGACTTAGAAAACTTTTTCTCTCGGTAGGAAAATCGATGTCTTCCTAACTGCAGTTTAACAAAGGAACTCTTTTAGAAGGGCCACATTTCGCGCGAACTTACGGATTATAAGGAATGAACCTTGTTAAATTTCCTGAAAGTTTCAATGGAAACTTGAGATAGTGTTATAAAACACTGTTAGAAAACCTTAACCTCGATGGATTGCAAATCTAAATTTTTGTTTCGTTTAAAGTTCTGAGTTCGTCAATAAACATAACGTGGCGCATTGACATGGTCATGCTCTCAAGTGATATTAAAACATCCTTGGACCGTTTGTTGCAGCATTTTGGGGATTGTTTTAAACCATAAAGATTCCGCTGCAATTTATAAACACGCATACTTAAACCTTCAGGGTGTTCCATGTAAGTTTCCCCGTACATAAAATGCATTTGAAAAATGTTATTTGATGACGATGACATTTTGAGATTCAACGAATTATGTAAATATTTACTACAATATTTGTGCAAAGGTCCTCCATCAACCCCTCGACATAACATTACTTGGATTAAGGAGACGGGAGCACATTACTCACAAGTTAAAAGAATTAAAATGGTTAAGTATGTCTGATCGAAGGTTGTTACATTCTGCGTGTGTATATCATCGCATAATTGCTTATCAAAAGGCATCTTACCTATTTAATAAAGTAACTCTTAGAACGGATGTCCATAGTATCAACATTAGATCAAAGAATATTCTAACGGTACCGATTCATAAAACTTCTCTATATCAACGTTCATTCAGTTATAACATCTGCAAAATTTATAATTCCCTCAGTCCGTCTTTAAAATCTTGTGACACACCGTCATTTAAGAGGCTCTTTTACAAGTCTTTACTGCAGAATCAATAAATTAATGGCGTTTTCTGTTCTTTTACTTGTTTCTCCAATATGTCTTAGCTGCCATAAATGATTTAACAATTTATTTTAAAAGGGTAAGTGGGAGAGCAGATGATATGGATGCCGTACCAATCTGAACTTCGCCCTTTTGGGTTGTCACATAAATTATTTTTTAGTTACTATCATAAACTTGTAAACGGCAACTCAATAAACGACTATTATTATTATTATTAGATATTTATTACTCTTTCAAATCTACAGAAACTAACTTACGACAATTTTAGAAATCAAAGATGCACTTTTCGCCATTTGGAATATCACTAAAAAGTATAATCTCATACTAGTTCCGATCAAAACTAACTTACCATTTGCTTTCATGAAACATACACCCCAGTAAGTTGGTAGCCGTCTCACATTCGTCATGCGAATTCGTTACTAAAACAACCGCGTTTAGTAATAGAGTAATGACCTTCTACGTTACCTGTGGCTAGGCATCTGTCTGCCATAGGTCTAATCGTCTTGTAGGTGTCATAATCGAAAGACTTTAACTCGTCTAAGATAGCATACCAAGACGTCTTATCGATTTTTCCGGATCTGTTCAGCTGAAATAGTCCTAGTTAAAGAATATTACTTTAAAATATGGCAAATTTACAATGTTCATTTTCTTGTAAACGCAGGCCACGAAGCATTTCCCCTTTTCGGTTTCCGGCAGCTGATGCTTTATTATCTTGCTGATATCGTCTAAAAGTTGGCTCTAAATGGTCGATTTGCAAACTTGATCTTACCATTGGAAGCGCCGACTTCTGCTATACACTCAACACCAACACCGATCACGTACTCTCGAATTTCGCTTGCTATTTCAGGTGGCACCTGAAAGCAATCCACTTAAATGTGAAATATGCGCCTTTAAAAGCACTTACACTAGCAAACGCTACAGCCAGCGATATGAACATAAGCGAGATTAATTGCTGCATTGTGACCGACGCGTGTCGCATTAGAAATGCTTACGTTTTTAAATGCGCCGCGAATTTACACTAAAACTCTAACGTGACTTGCAATAATAGAAGTATAATTGGCAAAATTAGATGTTGTAAAAGATTTATTACGAAAATCTGTAAAAAGGGATATTAGGTTATAAATTGCTAGGCCGCGTACCGTAAAAAGATGATGTACATCCGCATTTTGCGACAGGTAATTATTATTTGTGATTATCATTTTAAAATTTACGTAATATTATTAGCGTCGCTCTACTTGAAAGAAGAAAAGCAGGTATATCGGGCTTTAATTCAGAAGGTTAATTACATATCATTCAGTTTATTGCGTAGAAAGTGTATTTATTTACTTCATTTTCCCGAGATGGTTTGTTAAGGGAATGAGAATTAGATTTTGCACTATACAAACCGCATTTTCAATTGAAAGAATTAGAAATCGATACGAATAAAAGCGCTTAGTTAAAATATCACCGACCCTCTTTTAAACTAAGCTTCGATTCGTCTCTATTTAATCGAATGGAGTTATTAATCCTGCATCTATTCCGCGTACATAATCTACCGCAACTTAATTTAAACTCCATTTACACATATTTCAAAAATTAAATTGTTTAATTGCGGTTTAAAATCGATGATGCTCTCGAAAATTATACAATTTAATCAAAATAAATGGTTATTATAGTGTGTTTTGTGCAGTCTTTAGCTCCTGCATTATATGGTATTTTTCTCATGACCTTTCGCTGTGGGATCGTAATTATTTCGAACATTTCTTCTATAATTGTAAGAAAAAAATTTAATGCTTGTGGTTGTGTTCAATTTCCCACGTGCACTAAATTTTGTTAAAGTGTGTGCAGTAAATTCTCCAGGAAAAACCTACCCTAGTAAATTCGCCTTCCAAGAGAATTCCCTCCAGAAGATTCGCTACCTACCATTTAGTATCAACCCACTCTATCATTAATATTAAACGACCGTAGGTGGAACTTCGTTTCTGATGGCTTTTAAATGTGTATTATTGATTCCGAGGGTGAAATTTTCGTCGAAAAATGTTCCAGGGGCGAATTTACCCGGACTAGTATTCGCTTATCTGGAGGCCAATATTCCAAGGGCGAATTTTGCGAGGCGAATCTTCTTTCAGTGTTTCGTTAAGCCATTTTTATTTCGGAGAGATGGTTTGAATTTATTAACTCTTTTGTCCCACATATTATGTTCTCGCAAATGTCTATGGGCGAAAAATGTTTGTTAATTTCAAGTTGAACTTTCGTTTTAGTGACATAATGAAAAGTAATCATTAATAAAAAAAAGGCAAAAATATTGCTGTGTGCACTGGCATGCAGTCAACTACACTACCCACAAAAAACCTGTCCAGCTAGTTTCAATAAATCAAAAATTGAAACTTAGAATTTTTATGATCTCTTCTCGCCTCTCCTCCCCGGCATTTGCTACAAAACAAAATCCTTGAGTCCAGTCTCGATCAATTTCCGAAAATTCCAAAGAAATCATTACACCTCAGATAAACCCTGAGTACAAATAGAAAGAAAATCCTACATATTTTGGTCTCATCGAGCCGAATATCTGTAAGAGTTGGAGGAGTTCCAGTCAATTTTTAAGAAGATTCCGTCCTGCATCTTTGGATTTCTTCTACTCCCTTGGTGCTACCGTTAACAATCAATCTACACCACTTTACCATAAAAGGACCTGCGGAATCTGCCCAAGTGTTGCCGTACCGTCTACGCCGCTTGACGATAGGACATTATTGATTCAGCACCTTCCTAACTCTTGGCTATAGTTTGAACAGCAGGTGGGCCATTGCAAATATGCACCTTTCTTTCCTCTGTAATCGCATATCTCTCCCAAATACGCAAACTTAATATTTCTTCTTTCATTTTTTATTCTATTCAGGAGTGTGAAAAGTTGACAAGTTGGTTAATAAGCGTAAAACCATCAAAAATAAATTCACGGGCTTTCAAAACTTTTTTGATAACATTAAAGCGGAGGATTCAGATATCGTATTACAAGATCTTCCTTTTTTATGTAAGTTTCAAAGTGTACTCAATGAATTTAAATGCATCCAAAACGATATCGGGTGTGGTTTTGATTGTATTCCTCTAGAACAAGAACAAGCTCGAAAACAGTTCGAAGATCAATTTTATTGGGTTTATGCTGCTGCAAAAATGATTGTTGATAAATTCAATTCTGAAACTAATTCTACCAGTTTAAGTACTGCCCACTATCGAATTACCTATAGTACAAGAAACGAAGGTTTTGCCCTGGCAATTTTTTCAAAATGGATCGATTAACTTGAAATTTTGACAGTAAGTAAGGAATAACCTAAGGATCAAAATCTATATCATGCCAAAGGGCGCTTTCACTCTGGGGGTGGTTGTCACAGTCACTCCATCTCGGGGTGGCAATTTTTTATTGTAATTTTAACACAGAAATAGATAGAAAAATTAATTCTAAGCAAATAGTGTTCTATACATTTTTTTTGGAAAGGTAATACTTCTCCAGTTATTCGCGACCGAAAGAACAATGTTTTTAATTGGTTATTCGCGAAAAAAAGTATGCATTTTATAAAAAAAAACTGTGTAGAACAAAATGTAGCTTTTAAAAAAACAAATAAAACGTTTTTTTTTAAATTGCTGTATTGACCAAATACAAATCGAGTTGTGGCTTGTTAAACGTTAGCTCTTGTTCGTCAAACGCTAAAGAGAGTTTCACAGTAAGATAATGATAAAACTATTCATGTTTCCAGAAAAACTTGTAGAATATTTTTTACAGTACCGTTTTTTCTTTTTTTTCAAAAAACAACTTTAGCATAAGGGTAAGTGGGTTACGATGAAAATAAGGTATATCCGTACTTCAGCGGAAAAATCAGCGCAAGCAACCCCCTAATTACAACCCTAATTAAAATTCGGCCTTCCCCTTTTCCAGTTTTCTTCAATTACGCATTATTAATACATTCTAGAAGTGTGACCAGTTTAGAAATTTTGTAATAATTGAAGCTAAAAGTGAATAACGAATTTCTGCAAATTTGTGAAAAACGTCCTTCTTTTCAAAAGAATTACAAAACAACTGGAGATACGTAAAAAATGCGACACACCCAAGTGTAGCTTTTTTAATTCCAAACATTTTCCTCGCCGGCAATGTTCTGTACAACAAAAATTAATTAAAATCATTATTTAGGTGGTAATGGATATAGACGTTTAAAACATGTATTTATATGCGAGCACTACCTTGTTTTAGTCCTTTAAGCTCACCCCATTTTAAAACTAAGGGTTTTAAATGGATTTGATGTAAATAGCCTTGTAGTATCATTATTTAGGTGGTAATGGATATAGACGTTTAAAACATGTATTTATATGCGAGCACTACCTTGTTTTAGTCCTTTAAGCTCACCCCATTTTAAAACTAAGGGTTTTAAATGGATTTGATGTAAATAGCCTTGTAGCTCTGTAAAACCTAAGTCCAAAGCCTTGTAGTATCATTATTTAGGTGGTAATGGATATAGACGTTTAAAACATGTATTTATATGCGAGCACTACCTTGTTTTAGTCCTTTAAGCTCACCCCATTTTAAAACTAAGGGTTTTAAATGGATTTGATGTAAATAGCCTTGTAGCTCTTGTAAAAACCTGCAAAATGGTTTTTTTATGAATTTTCTATCACAAAGGAGTTATGATTAAAAAACGAATCCCAATTTTTTTAGAAGAAAGCACAAATCTGAGCATGATGATCTACATGACCGGTATATGTATATTTCGTATACTACACATTAGAGCTGGATTTTTAATCGGATAATTTTTTTGGGAGATTAACAACAAGAAAGCAACCATATATTTTCGAAATCGTTAATTCCATCTTGTAAATTACACCTGATGATGACGTAAGTCGAAACATGTATAGTGCCCCCCCCCCCCTTTACACTCAATTATAAATTACAGGGAACGGTTTTGAATCTATTGCAATATTGAAATCCTGCGACGACACACGCGTAGGTACTGAAAACGTTGAAATCCATTGAAGCATGACATTTTTGAAATCCCATTACGATTATTCTAATGTTATCAAATTGTGAGATCAAAGTTAACCTTATCATATCAAATATTACCAATGTCATGTCATGTTGTCCCTTGTGCAGGAAATTACGAGAAATGCTGGGGGAATGTCTAGATAACGATAATCAAAATTAGACGAAAGGTTGAAAAAATATACGGAAACGTAATAAGACGAAATTCTGAGGGAATAGGGGAAATAATGAGAAAATGTAAGAAAATTATAGTATAATAGAAGGAAATTGCGAGAAATAATGGAAATTGTTAGATGATATATCCCCTCTTGAACCAAAATAAATATATTTGTTGTATCTAAACGTTCCAACGTGATAAATTGGAAATTTATCTATAAAAAAGATTACTTCGGTTTCCCTTTCCGCTTAATCTTAGAGCAGTACGTTCAAACAAAATGAATCTAAGAAGTAACTTTCCAAGAAGACCGACCATAAAAAAGCAATTGAGATGAGTAGTAAAGAAGGCGTCGGTGATAAATAACTTTTGCGTAAAATAAACTTATACGAATGTGCCAGTCTATATCATAGATCATTGGTTGTGTATTTGTGTAAGCCCTTCGAACAGACAAAGCGTCTAATGTAATTGGTGCACGAAAATTGGAACGTGGGTAGTGAGAGCAAAACGTTGTAAAGTTAATTAAATAGTTAATGAACATCACGCCCATCTGTTCGAGCACTTGTAATACGTGTTTATGATAAATTGGAGTAAGTAGGTGCTTTATTAGGTCTGTTGCGAGAGGTCTGATGTGTGCAGTCGAGTGCATAAGGTACATTGTGGCAGATGTATCTGTCATAAATTAAGCCCAATTATACCTAGTGCCTGCCTTTGAAATCAAAGTGCTGGAAATAAATGTGTGTGACAGATTCTGAATCTACCTTAGCATAATAATTATTCGTTACCTTCGGAGGCGGTTTTATTTGCCTTCAAATTCAATTCGGTATCTCTCGTTATTGAAACATATTCCTCTTTAAGTGCTTCAAATCGTAATGTAAACAGTTTCGGATTCTCTTATAAGCTGGAAAACAATTCTTTAATCCTCAACACGACCAGGGAAAAGCCAATGTAGCAAAGTGCTGTGTTAGCACAGCGTTTTGTTTTCCTTTTCTCGGAATAAGTTTCAGAATACGGTTCTTTGTATCCGAAGGAAGCATCCCACTTACTTTAGTTTGGAACTTATTCAAAGGCCTTTGTATTGATTTGGCTCTTATAATTGCAAAGTGTATCTTCGGCTTGCCCTCTGTAGACAGTATAATCGAAGACTGCTTTCTGATGTTGCACATAAATATAGATTGCAGGTTATGGTTACATTCGATATGGGTTCGATGAGTAGTGCTGAATTGAATGAGTTGTGCCTCAAGTACAGCGTATAAAGTGCAAATGCAACGGATTCTGAAAGTGATTTAAAAATGTATGTAATTGAGAGGCTTCCATTAATCACTAATCTATATTAGGAAAGAGTTTTGACGATATTCTTCGACACCTTTGGTATGAAAACGAGACAGGGTAATCGGTATGACCACGTTAACATACCACCTGTTTGCTCAAGACATATTCTACATTATAAACTTTCGGTCTGAATTTTATACGTTTTGATAGTACACTCTGCAAGTCATAAAGAACGAGATGTAAAAAGGTTTGGTATACAATAATTTAAAAAAAAGTACTAATTCTTGTCATTAGAATTGGTGCTCGCAAATAGAATTGTAATCTTGTGTGCGGAATTATTTAAAATCTTACGATTTTTTATTGGCTGCAATTCTGTCCAAATTTTCAGAAACAAAGGTCCTTTCATTTCTACGTTCAAGTACAGCTTTGTAGCCTAAAGTGGTAAAAGGAAATATATGTGAATATAAGAGATTATATTCACATATATTTTCTTTTACCACTTTAGGCTACAAAGCTGTACTTGAACGTAGAAATGAAAGGATCTTTGTTTCTGAAAATTTGGACAGAATTGCAGCCAATAAAAAATCGTAAGATTTTAAATAATTCCGCACACAAGATTACAATTCTATTTGCGAGCACCAATTCTAATGACAAGAATTAGTACTTTTTTTTAAATTATTGTATACCAAACCTTTTTACAACTCGTTCTTTATGACTTGCAGAGTGTACTATCAAAACGTATAAAATTCAGACCGTTCTTGGTAACCGGTCAAGGATTGCAGCAGTTGGAATATTTTGGGAGTTGCAGCACTACTTTTGGGTTTGTAATTTTTTATGTTGAAAATCCATCACTCGGTTCAATTCCATTTGAGGGTGCAACATCTTGTGGAAATTTTAAGAACAAGCTGTTAGTCACATGCTTGGCTTTTATGTAATATGACTGACCAGGAGAAAAAATTATAGACGAAACGCAAGTTTTGGGAGTTTTGTAGAGGCAACTCCAAAACGAAAATTTTTGAAAACCTTTCGTTTATTTGTAAAAACGTTTCCATTGGTTATTTTGAGATACTTATGGTGTTTATTTTGCCATTTATTAAAATAGTCATGAATGATCGCAAGAGCATATCTGCAAACCAAATATTTTTACCTGAAACATAGTGGACATTTAATCGCATTTCAAAAGTGTTAAATTAAGACATTGTAGTCTAATAGAACACGATGAAATTTTATTCATTAATAAACAATGCAAGCCGCTGCAACTAAATAGAGGCATACAGAGCGGATACCAAGTACCACGCAAACATGCGATCGATTCAACAAGGTTCAATAAAGTCTGAATTCCTTGAAACTGCCAGTAATCCAAAAACCAATGCAATGTCCAATCCAAAAATCTGCAACTCACATTCACAAGCACTAAACTGACGCCTTCTCAGGAAACCCAACTTCTTTATTTCTTAACACAAACTCAACTATTTTAATTTTCCGACGCATTCACAACCTCTTCCCCAAACTTTCTTTAATTAATTTTTTCCCCAAAAACTGGCAGACTTGGAACAATCACTTACTATAATTGCTTCAATAGAACGTCTCACATTTAATTGGCGTACATCCGAAATTCCGCCGACACGACTCCACAAAGAACCCGACTCCATAATTAACGGCAAAAAAACACCACGGTGGTGGTAGCCGTGACTTCACCTAAACGACAGACAGCCTCCGGCGAAAAAACCAACCGCAACGACAGAAAAAATCTTCCCCACACTTCTTCTTCTACTAACATGCTTCTCCCCTTTCGACTCCACTTCCTATCCCATTAGTTAAAATAAACAGAATTCTCTCATCTATCAAACATCCTCGCAGACAACTATTTCCAACCAATAATAAGTTGTTTATCAATGCCTTTAGCTGTACTAAATATACCAATGACCACTAAAAAGTACATATAGGTAATGAGTTGCTTAAGGAATACAGAATAGTGGATATCGTGACCTATTTCAATTCCAGAAAATATACGACGCATTCCTCGGGGTACATTTAAACTCATCATATAAAATTAAAGTTGAAACCTTTCAAGTGAGTAAACGTCAAGAAAATTCTCACAACATGAAAAATTTAATATCCCTTTAGGTTACAAGCGTCATTCAAGTATAAATTAATTTTTAAGGGAAAGCCGTTTACTGAAGGACAGTAAAAAAATTATTATCGCGCCTCCCGAAACCACCTCTAGGGTATTTCTCCTTTTTCAGACGCGTGTAAAGTGTCAAAAGTTGGCTAAAACTATAATAACCTCTTGCGTATATTCTCTCTCGGTCTCTTACTTGCCCTTTTGTGGTGCAGGTAAACGGTATAAACTAAAGTAAACTGCTCACGTTTACCATTAAGGATGCGTGGTAAAAAGTTAAAGGACACTTACTTAGTGGCTATAGGGGTGAACTTCATCTTGTTTGTGCTTTATGTTTGGAGATATTCATTTGATGGTGGTCTCTAATGCATTGTTCTTGTTTGGATGTAATTTATTTATCCCCAATACTACTGTGTGAAAGAAAAATACGCGCATTGTGTATATGTAACAGAAACGAGCTCAAGTTATATCCACCGTTTAGCGCAAATGTATGCTGAACCACCAAATCGGTGTCTTACATGTGAAATGAGAACTAAAAAGCAACGTACTGGATGACTGGAAAAATGGGGAAACTGCCCATCAATGAAGAACTGACAAAGAGCAAAGAGTATGTCCGTAGTAACTCGGGCATAACAAATTGTTCCTGCATATAAAAGAATCTCTTTTGCTGTCGACTTTTCGCGTTCCATTTTCCCTTATTGGGACAATACCAATCAACTACTTTGTGCTAAGCGTGATTGGATGCAATAAAATGTTTGAAGGTTCTAGGCCCGTAATAGCTTCGAGTGTATATTGCTACAATCGAAGCAACGACAAGGAACCGGCCATTAGCATTTTGTGTAAATTTATTACCTCTAAAATTGATTCCTTTTAAGAAAATTGCTGAAGTACGTTCGTTTAGTATAAAATGTGCTACCAGTTTTGGCAGTAAATACGGCCAATAAAATATTTTATGTTTATTGCCGCCGACGTTACCAATGCGGTATATGTACCTATTTTTTGTATGCGGTGTAAACAAAACCTTAAATCATAGTTTTATAAAGTAGCTCAACCATCTCTTTTCCTCTTTTCAGATCCGTTCTACCTGAAGACGTTAGCGGTTGTAATCATTATGATTTCTTGGAGGATTTGTACGACGCCGTTCGCAACGACGATCGTAAGTATTCTCAACTTAACAGAATTGTTGCGATTATATCTGTAATTAAACGCGAAGTGCCCCATTCGGAGGAGATTTAAGATACAAATTATTTGAAAAGCGAAAGCTTACCCGAGGTTATGGTGATTTGAGATTCTCCACCTTACAAATCCCTCGCATATAAAATGCACACGTAAAACATAACGATGTAAATCCCTAAATCCCGCATTTCTGTTCCTTCCTTTCACCCTTTCATTCACTATTGTTTCCGTAAATTTTCTTCGCAATTTATACCTTTCCTGCAATTAGCTTCCGGTGGCTTACCAAATGAGACTACGTACTTGAATTGTCCCCGAAAATTACAATAAGGTTTCATTCCGCCATGCAAAAATCTGCCTTTCATAGTTATTTTGAATGCGTGGTTTCGATTGAAAAATAGGTGAATGTTTAAAATTAATATTATTATTTGTTATTATTAATATGTAGGTACTTACAAATCTGTATACGGTTTTCCAGTTAAAATAGTTTGCAATTCTTCCATCGTTAGATGAGATCCTGCAATTGTAGATTTTTCTTCAAATCATATACAGGATGGTTCACGTGAGACGTCGGATAGTTGGAAACCACGTATGCTATCCATGGACTTCAAACGTGGTCACAAACAAATTTCACTATAGCACCTTTTTAGAATTCGTGCTATCAGTATTGTGTGTTGCCTATCTTACAAAAGCTTTCTTCCTGTGACTGTTTTGTTTTAATTTTAATTTGCCAACGACTAGTTTCTGTGATAAATTTATAGTTCCTGTACTTGCGCTGAAAAGTGGCTCCAAATTTAGGAAATGTTTAGGCTTTCACGAGGCTTTCGTACAAAGTATAAAGTTATGAGTTTCGCTCAAGCTGCTAAAAGATAACGGGGTCGCATCAAGTGACGATTGTACCGTACTCGACCGTGATTGGTGGGTCAAGGAAAAATCGCGGATACTGTCGATACAGTACTTAATAGTGCTCAATTATTTTGTTAATTCCAATTTAAAATTCTCGCACGTCTCCTTTGATAGTATTACAAGCATGTTACGACAATTGTAGGTTTTTCATAGACGCGAATTTGACGTAGGTTAAGGAAGTAATATCTGTGATAAATAGCATGTAAACACTTGACACTTATCGGGTTTGAGTTATAAGGTAATCCCCGACCGAATTCACTTTGTGTAAGTGTGCTTGGGTATTTACAACTTACTATACTTACTATATTTGGTCCTTCGAGCCGGATTTACATTAGGTCTTACAACCCTAGATGCTACATTTGGTCCTTTTCCTTTCCTGCCTTTAAGCTAATGGGTGCCGCGTTACCACAAATGTTTCGGTTATCTGCACAAGAGTTGTGCACAATTCATATTTTCATTTATTGTAGTTCCTGATTCCGATTTCCACTTTGAGCCACGGTATAATAAAAACTTTGAGCGAAATTGTTTGTTATATTTGGGTACAAACGAGGGTACAAAGGACTAAAAATAACATGGATAAACCTTATATGATATTAGTAAATAAAAATGTTTCTCTAGGGATCGCAATTGCTTCTATTTTAAACTGTTTTCAAAATTTCCTTTCTTTCCTTACAGAAAACTAAATTTATACCAATAGGGACATTGAAATGCAATCTAAATAGCTACAGAAACATGATACCTCGATGAAAAGGAAATTTAATTTCTGATCGATCGGTATAATAAAATATTTCCATTAAAAAATTCCTTTAATATTGCTTCTGCAATTGTGAGCATTAATTAAATTCTACTTTTTCAATAGGAAAGATATTACAAACAAAGGTTGCAAATTCTCTAGAAAATTATTATTTGACCGACGCGACGACTTGCTCTATATGAAATGGTACTATTATTAATTGAAGATTTTTCCTTTTCCCTTTGTTTGCTGAATATTTGACTCGAGATTTGACTTTATAGGTTTGTGCGCAAATTCAAGCACAAAAACTACCACAACCTTTCGAATATATGAATCAAAACATCAAATGGTTCAATATTACGTTTTCAGGTTTTCTTATTTAGGATTACCCTTAAAAATTTTAATAGATCAAATCAATGTTGTAACCACATTTTTTCGGAATTAAATCTAATATCTCATTACCACAATTTTTGATATACACAAAACATTTGAAGCATCATATAAATAAATATGAGTTGTTATTTAATTTATTCTGAACTAAATAACTTCTCTAATTTATGGGTGTATGGACGATAAAGTCACATGAAAAAAATGCAACGGTTTTAATAACCTAGGTTAATCGTTCAAACACAAAATTTCTTAATCAAATTTGCAACATCCAACAAGTTTAAATTTACATTGATGTATTAATGACAAAACTGGTACCTTATGGACTACAGTCCTTCTGCTTCCGGTCAACAATGAATTTTCTTTACAGCAACTCTGAACGCTACACAGTTAGGCGATGGAATGGAAATTCTTTCTCCGACGGAAAATTTCTTCATTGAAATTTCGATAATTGACAAAGATGGTAGTTCGAAGTTTTCCTGGTGGTTCCCTATATTTGAAAATTACAAACAAACCACAATTTTCATTAGTTGAACTGTCTGAAGTGAATTAGTTTGACTAACAATGGAAAACATGTGTTTAACTTATTACGAAATAGGAAAGCATTTCAATCAGTAATAAAATGCACTTTACACCATGTTAAAACAGACACTTAGGAATTTATTTATTTTACAAATTTTTCTCTTTTAACAACTAGAAATTGAGTTATTTCACGTTTCAAACACTAATACTGGTCGCAACGAATTTATCTTGCACTACGAACAACGGATTTACAAACAAATCTTTTTTCAATTTTTTCTAAATCTCACTCACTGGTCACAACGGCCCCAAATGCACATCTGTTTTACGATTCTAAGGATCAAGTTCTTTACCACAGATCAATTTTTACATGGACCTCTTTCTAGTCGGGTCGAATCAACTAAAAATCTTCCTCAAAGATAAATCTCCACTATTTGGTATTCATTAGTTTAACCCGCGGTTGACAAATTAATTCTCTACTAAGAACACTATTTGTTTGGAAAATAATTTAGAACGGCCAAACTTTAACACTGAATATTTCGATGATACGTAATGCTTAAAATTTACTCAAATTCTCCCCAAACCTGAAAAAAAACTAACTATCTAACTTCACGATGAAATTTAGAGCTACCGTTACAGTGTCTAAATATGAATCAACATCAAATAACCACCTGAGATGATTAAATGTTTGACTGTATTTCCACCTGTAGCCATTAACGTTTCATATAGAACAGTACACCCGAATATGACAAGAAACCTTTACCCACTGCTTATGAATAAAGATGCAATTCTGCACTTGGTTAAGGGCGTTAACAGTAAGCACGTCTCCGATTTTTTGATAGACAATTTTAGACAGTGTTTCTCAACCGGAGGCTCGCGGACCCCTTGAGGGGATCCGTAAATACCTAATAATCCCATTAAAGTTTTGATGTTCTTTTAATATTTTGCTCTATATTGGCTACTACAATATGCAGCTTCTATGTTGAATATCTTAAGTTTAGAATTACATTTGAGTTTTTCTTTGACATTCAGTAATAAATAAGACTCCCTAAAAATTGTTCCAGTTTATTACAAGTATTGTTAGGGGTCCCCCAGAGTTAAGGGAATCTTGCAAGGGGTCCTTATTTATAAAAAGGTTGAGAACCACTACGTTAGAACTAACGCCAGTTTCTTAGTCGTAACGTTAACAAGTTTTAGAATATGTCTCTTTACACGTCAAAATTGGAGAAGTTTCAAATTTCTTAAGCAAAGTGTAATAGTGTCACGCGTCCATAGAATTCCAAGCAACTTGCAATTCAAGGACAAACTTACTGTTGAAGAATACGCTGCGATAAAGAGTTTCAAAGTTTGAAATTAATCTCGGCGAAAATGCAATCAGGTGTTCTAAGCACATTGAAACCCCATTAAGAGATTTCACAAGTAAAGGATTGCGATATATACTCGTACCTATCTGTTTTGCATAATAATGTTCAAATATTGAATTTTGGTCGTATCAGAGTGTACATGCTCCACTAATTTTAATTGCTGCTCCATCTTCCTACTTCCTAATTCTTGTATAAAAGTTGAAAGCATATCCCTCATCGCGGCTTAAAGTTGTTTACAAAGTTTTACTCATACTTTCGTTACAGAACAAAGCTCTCTTGAAGCAGAACCTTAATTTAACATTCTTAGGCAACCTTTTCAATGTGAAAAGCTGCTACGGTATCTCTTTATGTGTTTTATATCAAGTAGATTATTTGATTTTCGGATAATCATCCTTTTTGAGATGAAAAACGTTACATTAGCTACCGCACTGAATATTACATTTTTCCTACGCGGAGAAACTCATAACTACCTTTATTTAGTATGGTCGCCAACTGCCAACATAAACACTTTATTTTTTATTAGACGATAACGTGCCGCGTTGTTTTTTAGAGTTAGCGATGATTAACCAGTCGTGTCGATATACCTATTTCTCGAAGAAAGTGAAAGGAAAGAAAATGTTAGAAAGCATCAAACGTACCCAAACGTTAATTTCAATAAGCATCGAAAGAATGAAATTGTATATGCTACAAACAGTTACCTCCTTTACGTTTATACATTTTTATGAATGTTTAAAACGTAATTTGCTTTGAAAAAATTGTAATCGGATTAAATTCCCAAAGCTATGCCTCATCTGCGTACCATTTCAGAGAGAGAATAAAAATCGTAACATTAAAAGAACTATACAGGTCGACTGAGTTTCTGCATAATTTTATTGAAACTTGTCTTTGAAATACAATATTTTCTTATTAGTGATACAGTAACCTTGTTACAAACATAATTGACTCGTAAGTATCGAACTATAGTTTCGATCTGTAATCCAATTAGAGTTACACTTATAGAACTCTTTAGACGCCCTTAAAAAAGTAATCTGGCGAACAGGCGAGCTTTGCGGGTTTTGCTATCCTGCGGGATGTGATAACGTTTTTACGACTTTTCTAATTTATCATTACGGGAGCAAATTTCGAACGTGACTAACGGGAAATAGTCATTAATTAAGTACTTAATTAGTTTAGCGAAAGGGTGGATTCTATCAGATTTCCTTTTTTTAAGAGTTCATGCTATTGCCACGGTTACTGTCAATTGAGTGTGCTTCCTCCACAAAAGAAAGCTTTGTATTCGATGTTGTTTTTCTTCTAAAATATAGGGAAAGAAGCTTAATGTTGCGAAAATAACATAACCCTTAATATTCTTCTGTTGTTGGAGAAAAAAGCGCCGGTCATACGTAAAGGCTTTGTGTCAAATTAATGTTGTAAATAATATTAATCTTAGCATTAAACTGTATTCGGCTTCATACAGCTCTTCATTGTGCCAATAGCTTCGGGAATCTGTTGCACTTGCAATAGTTCCAGGTAGGTTTTAAGAAACGTTCCCCAATATTACCTTCTAAAATCACGATCCCAGGAAGTGGACCGAAATTAGGAATCTGACGGATCCAAATCTCCGCCTGATACAGATATATTTTCTTATTTAGTCCCAAAATAAAAATTTATAACACGCAAACTTCAAACTATACCCCTTCCCTATTTCCAAATACCGACATTTTTTTGAAATATTCTACAGTTCTTGATGGATTGTAGTAGAAGCACCGTTTACCTATTTAAAGTAACCACACAATGTGGTTCCTGGTTATCACGGCACTCATTTTGTGTGTCCTGTGGATGCTTCCATTTAAAAATGTTCGAAGCGTACCTATGCTGTAAATTCACCTCGGAAAACTTGACCTCGTAAATTCGCACTCAGAAATATTCACTCCTGGAAGATTTGCTCCGGGAAATTTTGCCAGCGGAATATTCGCCCCCTGGAAAATTTGCTCGCGGAAGGTTCGTCTTTGAGAGATTGTTGAAATGAAATATACAGCAAGTAGCTAGTAGCAATTGAAACTGTGGGAACAAGAAACTCTACAATTAAGATAGCTACATTAACAACTCCATGGTTTTCGAAGAAATAAAGAAACTAGTGCATGCTATCAAAACAAGCTTGTTTGGAATACAAAGATAACCCAATCCACCAACAGCAATGCAAGCGACCAAGGAAGAGAATAGGGAATTTTGAAAAGATTTACAAACCATTTTTTTTAGTTACAAACGCTTACTAACAATTTGTGGTCGACTGATGTTTCTAATAATTTTTTGGCGAAAATCATGAATTTTACGCAACTTAGGAAGATACAAACGCCGCTTTGAAACTTACAAATACTTACTAACAATTTATTAAACAGTAGCGAGTGCGTTTATATCTTCTCGCCTGGCAGCTTTACGAGCTTTTCAAGTTAGTTAAAGCAGCTGTCATTAATTTAGCGTGGATTAATTATGTATTTGTTTTTGAAAAAATATGGTTCACTAAGCTCGTATGGAAAACTGAAACTAAATACTTAGACGAACTTAGAACAGAGGACCCATAAAATTTTAATTTGTGCATTAAATTAGAACTTGCTTAGTACTTAAATGCACACTATGTTCTTTGTTCCGCCCACCTTGCATGCGGCATTGTGCTGAATCGCTATAAAACTAGTAGAACTAAGTTTTCAATCGGGAGGAGCAATAAGTTTATAATTAATTCAATGTTTGTTTTTCTATAATTGTTCTGCTAGGTCTGGCATAGCAAGAGCGACCTCTCCTCTCCTGCTGAAAGATACGTAGTTAATTACAGTTCTCCGTATTCATGCGAATTCCAATACTTTGCGCATGAGAAAACTGCCTTCTGCCTTCGATGTAATAAAATTGATGCGATCATATTATTACGTTTAGCGAGAAAATTCATTTCTGGATAGGGTATGTAAATCAGCCGAGCAATATTAATGGCACTTTTCATTGAGGTTTCACAAGCCGATGCCTTGAGGGTATTAAAATTTATTATATTAAACCAAAATCTACCCTCAATGACGAATTGAGGGGTCGACTAACGCCTACCACTGGGTGCGTGCTATTTTAATTAGCTCATTAATCTTGTTGCAGATGTGAACGAGAAGGATTTTTTGGATCAGCTGGGTCAAGAACTAATAACGACATCGTGCTCGGACATATTTGTTAGAGCCCTAATGTGCTTAGGGGGCGACTTAAAAGAGTTCCTAACGACGCTGGATGGCGTACACGACGTACTTCAACATCAACAAGTAACCGAAGATGCGGACCACGAAGCCGTTTTTGTATGCACAATCTGCGATGACTATCTTCGTTTGGAGTTTGCGACCGAAAAACCGGCGGTCGCTTATTTACTCGTCGGTAGCTTGCGAGCAAACATCAACAAGTAACCGAAGATGCGGACCACGAAGCCGTTTTTGTATGCACAATCTGCGATGACTATCTTCGTTTGGAGTTTGCGACCGAAAAACCGGCGGTCGCTTATTTACTCGTCGGTAGCTTGCGAGCAATTGCGAGACTACTGTATTCGACTGAAGCCGAAATTACTATCTCACAAAACAATCAGGATCACAGGCATTATAGGTGAGTGGAATTAAATTGCCGGCGCAATAATTTTCTTGGATCAAACGGTTTATAGGGTGTAAAAGAAAAAGATGCCGATTTAATTACGGAACTAAGAACTACCTTATTAAGTCGAGATTGGATTAATTCGCAGATTGAACCTCTATAATTTAATTTACCTACGCTTCAATAATGAATTTTGCTCTGCACAAAAACGCGGAATTAAATCTAGGTGTAGTTTCCCAGTTCCCTATCAGTTTACGCAAAGACAGCACGTGAAAATTAACGTTTAATTAATTCATCCACACTGTTCAGCGATTATTTAATTACGTTTTCCACATACTGAGCTTTTGAAGCTTTCACGTTGAGAATTAAAAATTATAAAAGAGTCAAACAGCGAAGTACGTTATAACGGTGGCTCTAAATTGGGATTCATTTTTTTCGGATTTTATAGTAACTCTAGTAAAGTTTGAGATGAGAGCAGATTAGGCATTACATATAGTTAGTGGTATTTCAAGCATAAATCTGTAAGCATTTGGTAGAATTGAAGATTGTCCTTTCTGCGTCTTTTCATTTCTGTAGAGCGTTAAGTTTTCATAATGGGTTTCGGATGTCTGGAGACGAGATGTTGCTGTAACTAGAGCTAAAATGGGCATCTTAATTGACCTTATCTAGTCTAAACTACTGTATATTGAATAAGCCTGCCATATTTGAATATTTGAATCGTGCGAATTAATTTAATACCTTGGCTAAATTTTCTTTGTACTTAAAAGAAAGGTAAAAGAAAGATATGTCATTAGATTACAACATGTGGCATATCCTGAAAAGAACCGTGTTAAAAAAGAGGAATCCTATGAAAATAACTTTAACTAAAAAAGATACAGCCACTGCCCATTCGCGTGAAGACACTTAGATTATTAATTTAAACAAATTTAGCGTGCTCATATATAACATACTAGTTATGTGTAGAAAGGAAAATAAGGCATAAATATTGTTCCAACATGAGTTGGAGAATGCGCTAAAAACTACTTAGATTTTTTAACTTCTGAATCCACTTCTCGACAAGTGTTCAGAAAGAGACACGAGACACGTAATAATCGACAACTTATAAAATACATAATATTAATTAACTAGAGAAATATCAAAATAATCATTTTCGCTGGATATCTAACTCCTGCAGTTTTCCAACAAAGCGTGCACTAAATTCTGCTGGGAAAACGTCAGTTCTTTTCATTTAATTTTCCGAATTTTAGATATAATATGGCAGGACTAACTTTCAATTCGACAAATTGTGAGTTTAGCAAATTTTGACCAAAACAAAAGTTGGCACTCGCTACCAATTGTTATATATCCGTAACTCGGGTAACCCCACAAAGTTATATTATTCCGTTGCGTGCGCTTTATACAAACCCCTCTAAAAGTTACAAATTTAAATTGTTTTTTTTGCGAACCTAAAATGAATTTGCATTTTATGAAAGGTCCGCCATCATAAAACTGCAGAAATAAAACGACACTTCTGAAAAAATAACTTCGGTTGCACTTTAATTTGAATAAATTTTCCGCAGTTAGAATAAAATTGAGATTATGTAAACGCATGAAATAGTTAGCTATTACACGATCGTTCATTTGGAGGTTGTTGCGATTTGCAATTTGATTAAAATAAAAAATCTGAAACGTCTCTGTCGAATGTGTTCTGTAATTTTCAATAGTAATTCAGTTTCATACAAAGCCCTTTTTTGTGCAGAATTCATAAATAATAAGTTTGTGTTTTGTAGGTACTTATACAACAAAAAGATTTCCAATAACAAAGTTTCTATGCTAGTTGTTTAATTATAAAATTAAGAACTTTTAATATTAAAAATCACGTTTTTGCTGCAAATCGTAGGAAACCATCATGATGCTTAAAAGTGCGTTTGGTAAATTGGGTATGTATTTTTTATTTAGACGAAAAAAAAACTTCCGCATAATTCAACACAACATGTGATTTTGCTATTACAAGATTTCTTGTAAAAAAACACTTTCTTAAAAATTACCTATAAGTGCCATTCAAATAGCAATTACGTGGGCGAGAGCATCATGTGGTCTTATTTTTTAAATTTCCCTTGTGACTTTTTTAATAAAAAATCATTTACGAATAGGTGCTATTGTAATAAAAATTACGGGCACACTAATGTAGGTATGAGAATAGGTCGTAAAGTATGTTTCATAGCGCTATATATACTATAGCTCGCGGGGCGTGTGAGGTGCGGCGGCGCAGATTAGTTAATCTATGCTATTGAATAAACACAAATGATTGTAATAAAAATTACGGGCACACTAATGTAGGTATGAGAATAGGTCGTAAAGTATGTTTCATAGCGCTATATATACTATAGCTCGCGGGGCGTGTGAGGTGCGGCGGCGCAGATTAGTTAATCTATGCTATTGAATAAACACAAATGATATAAATATATTGTTTTCAACAACAGTTAACCACGGTATGGTAGGTTTATACAATCATTATCATTAGTTCACTAACATTAGATCATTAAGAAATGGCCAATAGAAACATTGGTATGGCTTCGTTGGTTAGCGACGCACAATAAACCTTTGTTTGTATTGACTATTTCTTAATGATAGTGATGATAGTGAACTATTTACCTAATTATTGTGGAAACCCACCATAAAATAACGTAAATTAAATAAGTTGGAACAACGAAACGGATTCGCGCTTATTATTATTGCTACTGTACATGCGGTTAGCTATCTTGACGTTAGGAAACATTTAAAGCGCCTGTAACGTAACATCATTCTTAGTTCACCATGAGAGGTCGGTAAAACAAGGAATCTAAATACATGTTAACAGAAATTTCGGTATTAGAACAGCAAATTAGAACCTCAGGAGCAGCATTAATAGATATAATGGACTATATTCAATACCACCAACATGCTTTGAAAAGATGTATATTTTCTTTTGAACTATTCCAACAAAACCTTGTCGTTAAACATAAAAGTGATAATGCAGCAATATCGCCAGAACCTCGACCAAGACACAACTTCATTTCATATAAAAAAGTAAAGTATATTGGATTTTTTCCACTTTGACAAACCAATTTTTCCGACAGCAGAATCAACGTGATGTATTTTAGGGAGCATAAGAAAAACTGTCACGATTCAATCGATACGATTTTAGATGAGAGAAAAAGGGGTGATGACATTGGCGCTTTTTAGTTGAAATTGCCTTTGCCAACGCAATCACATAGGCGAAAAACCACCACAGCAGGGAACCAATAATCAATGTTGTATATATTTACACATTATCAGAACAAAGTTTCGGAGTGAATCGGTTGCCAATTCGTTTGTCCATATTAAACTCTTTTATATCCTCCTCAAACTAAGCAGAACCAAGTTTAGGGTATTGTAATATATTCACCGTTCGTGAATTTTATGTGACGCAGGGTTCGAGTTAATGTAAAAGAAAGTTTTGAAGGCCACTAGAAAGTTTTAAAAGCTTTAAGGGAAGCTTAATGTAAATAAACCACTCAGGAACTTTATGAGTATCAAAAAATAAGAGGAATCGTCTCATTAAAAAGAAGGGTACTTACTAACATCGTTAATTTGGATATCCAAGGGGACAATTATGATTTAACTTTGTTTATGTATTAGATGCTATTCAATTTAATAAACGCCATCACGCAATTAATTATTGATGGTGAAAACGTATTACCCTCCATAAGGCCTCCAAACTTGCTTTTATAACTAAAGTACGTAGGGGGAAATAAGTGACGATTACCAGCTTATTTCCTATATACTAGCCGATCATTTCTTTCAAGTTGATATGTGGGAACATTCATTTGAAGAAAAAGGATTCTTGGTGCGGTTTCGCCTTAAAATTTCACTAGCAACCGTGATAGGTGGATACTGTTTGCACGTCAGGATATTTTATTTTGGCGACACATTTGCAAGGAGACGTCGAATTACATTTCCAATACTTTTAACCCGCAGAGCTAAACCGACTGAACGGAACTGAAAAATGTACTTTTGGAAACTTTTGAATATGCAATCGCGGGAAAAGCTATGAAAAACGATAATTTAACACATTGTTGGTACGAGAAAAAGAGCCTTAAATTTAAGCAAGTCGAATTTGTGATTTTTACCTTTCAAAAGTTTCAGTCTGAATTTATTTCTGTGTCAACTTGAGCCAAACTTCAAATAAATCATTTCTTTGCTACGTCATTCAATTTCAACCTCAAAACATATTTATCGCCGCTATTTAAAGAGTCTCAAACTTTCTCCTTTCCCTGGCAAAAGTTTGACAATAAATAACGAGTTAAAAACAAAAGCTCAGTAACTTCAACGAAGATATTAACTAAAATCAAGTTTTAAAGTTCGAGTGAAATATGACACAAATTGCGATTTACTCAAATTTGCCTTATTTACTGCAGTTCTTAATTTCGTTTTCTTTTGTTTCAGGTACAAAATAAAAAATTACCACGCCGAATCGCCATACCTCACAGGCTCCATTTTACAGAGTCTCTCATCGCCTTTGGTAACCGATTTACAAATGGGTGTTGCTACATTCTGTAAAGCGTTCCCGTGGCACTTTGTGATAGACAGAAAATTAGAGTTAGTCCAATTAGGTTCCTGCTTCATGCGATTGTTTGGTTGCGTTTTGAAGTCGTGCGGTGCGGCCGCGTCAACCTATTTCGAATTTCATCGGCCAAGAAGTACAACGTTGTCGTTTAACGAAATTATAAAGCGTGCGAATTCGCCGTTCGTGCTTGCAATCCGAAAACCTACAGGAATAGCAGAATTTCCAGCTGAAGTAAGTACACCATTAATTTTGCTACTCGTTTATTCTCAGTGCAATGACTTTGTTGGAAACACACATACAATTAAACAACCGTTTAAAGAAACATCAAATTCAAAAGTTGCGCTTTTTGCCCTCATCCTCTGCAATATGTCAAAACTTAAGTGCGAATACGCCAAGAACAATTTAAATTTCTCGTTCAATCCACACTAGAAGTTTCCATGGGAAAGGCATTTAAATATCAAATTTCGTCAACGTAAGGAATTTTACAAAAAACCTGGATATTCTAATTCCATTTTTCTATGCGATATGGTTCTGTAAGAAAAAATTCAAATTTTAGGATTTTCTCGGGCGTAACTCTCAAACAAACATAATCAAGCCCTTATTTAGAAAATAAATTAAACAGATACAGCAAACGAGCTCCTGGGTATGAGATGTCAAAAGGGTCTTCCTTATTTTTTGGCCTACATTGCCAATTCACCAACTCCGATATAAAAATTTGAATCCACATGCAAAATTTCATTGTTATCGGTCCATTCGTTTTCGAAATATCGCGCTAAAGGACAGACGAACAGACACCGAAATAGTATATTAAGTATGGAGAACGGTAAGGGATTTTTACCGTTCGAAGACAATTGTTTGGAGGAGGAGCGAAGCGACGACTCCAATTATTGTCTGAGAACGGTAACCCTTAACGTTCGACGTGCTTATAACATTTTTTGCGCGATCGAAATTAAAATTATGCAACCAATTATAAATATGCACTAAGAAATTAACGAGCAGAATAAATTGAAATGATCGACGTGGTATGGTGTACATCACTAGGCAACCAGTTTAAATGTCAAAATTGAAATTAATAATTTCATAAAAATGTGCATGTGTCTGATGCACTAGCTTTGCACTTTCTTTATGACTTTATGAGCGTCTTGCCATAGGAAACAACAGCACTAATTGTACGTTTAATGTACCTAACAATAATTATAGATTAAATGTAATGTAAGACTGTTGATTTTTAAAAAGGCGTCGGTAAGTATTTTTGCTGTTCTGTTTTTAGATCGGTAAGTAATTTTGACGTCGTCGTAATCATAGCAACTGGTAAATTCTACGTACTGTCATGGAAACACCCATGGCATTGTTTAAATACTTTATTAAACAATGCCCATGGTAAATAGTCAGAAATGACCGATCGCGCAAAAAATTATGAACTTTGTTTGTTCTTACCTGTGTGCACCTTTAAATATTCGCCCACTGAATTTTAAACACCAAAGAATTTTGGTGTCAGAATGACCTTTCGGAATATTCACTTTCGAAGTATTCTCGTCTGAGAAAGTCGTTTCAGATTGTTCATCTCCAGGAAACGAACTCTCGGCAAATCCGCCTTACAACATGGCTTCGGAAATGGTGGCAAAATTAGCTCTGTCAGATTTGCCTTTGTAATATTTGTGTTCAATAATACTTACGGTCAAGTAAAATCATGCGTATATTCAACACTAAAAAATTCACCTCTGGGAAACCACAAAAAAAAGGGTGTTGATTATTTTGCGTCCAAGATGATCGTTTCTGAATACTCGCGCTTCAAAGCAAACAGGCTCGCTTTAATCCCGAGACCTACAAAATTGTTAAGCTTTCCATCCTCTGTTGTAGGAAAACTCACAAGTACAGCAATGCCCTACACCCTATCCTGTAATATTCGTTCTTGGAATATTGTGCTTCAGAATATTTACGACCAAGGAAATCGTTCCGGTATATTCGTTTCCCAAGAAACAAGGATCTGAAAAATTTGCGTTCTTAAAGTTGTAAGAGAATTGCCGTTAAAGAATTCCCAAATTTTATCAAACACTTGACTACTCAAAGAAGAATTTAACCAACGAAATTATAGAAAATTCACCACCGGGATATTCTCCTCCAATAAAACTTCCTCCAAAGTAGGATTTCCAGAATATTCCCTTCCGGAGGACTCGTTGATGGAGTATTGAATTTCGCAATATTCATATCCAAAAAACTTTCCTTCACTTCCTGTAAATGCTCTTAGCTGTCAAAATTGTGGAAAAATTCTCTCCGCTACACTTGCCACACAGGAATATTCATCTCAAGGGAAGCTCCTCCCTAAGAAAATTCCCTTCGAAAAATTCACCCCCAAAACATTAGTTTTTATTTTGCGTCCCCAGAATATTTGCTCCGAAAACTCGATCTGGAGTATTTGTCAACATACAAATGCCCTGAAGACACTATAACTCCCACAAGAGTCTCCGTCGCAAAGAAGGCTTGATCCCAAGGAAATTCCTCGTAATATTCGATACCAAAAGATTCTGGAATATTTACCTACGGAAATGGTGTTTTTTTTTCTGATTCTAAACCGGTTCTGGTTCGAGTCCATGTTCGGACATGGATATTTGTAATTGTATAGTGGGTTAGGTTGGCGAAGCAGCCTTGTCTGAAACCCCAGCCACTCAAAAATAAATAAAATAAGGAGTAGTTGCTGATCGTGGTATACCTATAATGTTCGGGAAATTGTAGTATTTCGGAGATGGCGTGTACATCTAGTGGATCAAATTTTTGTTTTATTTGTAAAGGAGAAATTGAAGTAGATGAACTAAGTGTAGTTGCTGCCTTTGTCCGTCGTGCATATGCTCCTTTTGTAAGACGAAATATGGAGACCAAATCATAATTTTAGAATCAAGGAAGGATCGTTAGTCCAAAGAGGGTTGGTGACAAAATTCTGCACGATAACTGGTATTCCACCGAAAGGAAAAGAGACGAATAGGAAGAAAGGCGTTGAATTGTGGACACAGCTGGAAAAATAATCTTGGAGGACCTCCGCTCCAAAATGTTCAACATAGTTGAGTATCCTCCCATGGACTACTTCTTGGGTGGCGCGTGTGCTGCGGTTCCAGAAAAGCTGATTTTTCTACTTCACGTTTTGATTTTGACCAACAAACAAGGATCCTTGGACTCTTGGAAAAAAGAATGCCTCACTCTGACTCCTGCAATCATAATAGCAGTGCGCCCCAAATCTTTTGTATTCTCCATCATGACTGCTGTTTCCGTATTTATCTACAAAATGTTTGGCTCTAAACTCCTTCATCTTCCATAGGGTTTTTTCCGCAAAAAATTGTCCCCACTATATTAGCTTCACACGTCTCAAGAAAAATTTGCTCCCTAGTACATTTGCGTCTCAATATTCTACACAGAAAGGTCCGTTTTTGGAAAACTCGCCCCCAGAATATTTAACTTCGGAAAACTTCGCCCTTCACATGTCTGCGATGTATTTGCGTCAAAGAATATGATTTGCAGAGGGAATTGCTTCAAGGAAAACCAGAACATTCACTTCTCATCAAAAATTGATAAAAGTTGCCTCCAACAGCTTCGTTCTCAAAGGTGAACTCCTCTCCTACAAATATTTTTTCTATGTTAATCCATTCTAGGAAAAATTTCACAACGTTTTGTTTAAATGGCATCTTGAAAAATTCCTTGGTAAATCCATCTCGTAAATTTTGAGCCCAGGCTCTTTTCCAAAAAGTTATCACTAATAAAAGCTCACCCCCACGTAAATCTGAACCCACAAATTGGTTCACAAAAGCTCGCCCCCTCAATGTTGTTCTCCCAGAACGCTCAGAACAGGTCTTGCAGATTTGATACCCTGGGCAAATTCGCTCTGGTAATTTTTGGTCTTTAGTGTACCTTCAGAGAAAAATGCGGTCGGATGAAATATACCATCAAGCTTACCATAGAATCCTTCCAGAGAGCGAGTTTTTCGAATGCGACCATTCGGACGTACAGGAATATTGTTAATACCGCAGGTAGTATTTTTGGGATGTATAAATGGAAAGCTTCCAAAAGGTTTTCGCTTCAACGTTTTATGTAAATGCATATTTTAGTTTTCCAATGAGATTTTATTTATTAAATTTTGATGTAAGGCATATTATTTTCCCATTCCCAAAAACAAAAGCTGGCAAAACTCCAAATCAATCACTAGGTATCTACGATACGAAGGTTATACACTGCCTTTTTTTCGGGCCTCAAAAAAATTGTCTCAGATCGATCCGGAAAAAAAATTTTCTTATAGAACGTGGCCTGTAGAATCCATAATTTCAAACAGTTCCAAGATTGGGCTACTAGTTCAAAAGTTACAGCCCTTTGAATTTTTTTTCGAATTTGGTTTCTAGTCTATAACTTTTGATTGAGAAGTCTGATCGAAAAAGTACGAATTGTTTTGGATTCTACGCACCAAAATTAATAAGAAAACGTGTTTTCCCGAGAAATTTTGGTGTAGTCGATTTTTGGTAAAAAAGGAAGGTTATACACTGCCTTTTTTTGAGCCCCGAAAAAAAAATTGTCTCGGATCGACCCGGAAAAAAATTTTCTTATAGAATGTGGCCTGTAGAATCCATAATTTCAAACAGTTCCAAGATTGTGCTACTAGTTCAAAAGTTACAGCCCTTTGAATTTTCTTTCGAAATTGGTTTCTAGTCTATAACTTTTGATTGAGAAGTCTGATCGAAGAAGTACGAATTGTTTTGGATTCTACGCACCAAAATTAATAAGAAAAAGTGTTTTCCCGAGAAATTTTGGTGCAGTCGATTTTTGGTAAAAAGGAAGGTTACACTGCCTTTTTTTTCGGGCCTCAAAAAAAATTGTCTCAGATCGACCCGGAAAAAAAATTTTCTTATAGAACGTGGCCTGTAGAATCCATAATTTCAAACAGTTCCAAGATTGGGCATACTAGTTCAAAAGTTACAGCTCATTGAATTATCTTTCAAAATTGGTTTCTAGTCCATAACTTTTGATTGAGAAGTCTCAAGGATGCTATATAATATAAGGATTGCTCGATCCCTATACTTGTAATGTTGCCCGAGTTTAAGTCATATGTGACGTCACCAACGGACCTGGCTGTCAGAATTGACAGTTATAATTTGCTAAGTTGTCAAACGTTTTTGCGTTAGCGTTATAACTGTGTGTATGTGTTCGCTATATTGCAACAAAAATGCTTGGACGCCGGCGGACTGTAATAACAATTTGGGGTAGTATTCACATTTTACACTCAACTGGCGCTCATTTTAGCCAGTGTCAAGAAGAACGTCGAGAAATCGTTTTATTATAAGATGCACAAAGTTGAAATTTTATTTTAGCTGCAAGTTCCATGGACGATGAAGAGTAAAAAAACCAAAAACGCAGGATGAAATAGGTTCACGACATTTTGAGTATGCGAAAAATCGAAGGAGAATTTGTAGACTTGTAGACGATGACTGACAAGTGTTTCTAATTTAAATATTTACCTATATAACATCCATTTGGGCATTTGTACAGAAGAGACTTATAAACTTCAGTTCTTACTCATCTGAGATTTCCGCATAACCGAAGAAAATTTCCACTCTGCGCAGCGTTTCAAAAACGCATCGTGAGAAGGAGCTCTTAGAATCTTACATAATATAAAATACAAATGAAGGTGGTGCACAAATCTAAAAATCAAAGCATGAGGTGCGTCTGGGTCCGCCAGTGACGTCACTACACGCGGCGAAAAAATTCAGTGATCGAGAAATCCTTATATAGCATCCTTGGTATACACCGAAGTTTTTCGTATTCATCCCGAAACTATGCAAATGTAGCTTTATGTACATTTTAGTGGCTCACGTAGCTATCGTCAATCCTTGCAAATGCTTCGACATGTGTCCCTCCGCAGTACTAACAATCACCTTCTGAGGATAAAAATGTAGGGCAATTCCACCCGTACGCACCATTAGCAGGATTGGGTTCGGCTTGCAAAAAGAACAGGCGCAATAAACTTTATGTATACGTTATAAGATTGCAAAAATACCCTACCACTTTGACGTTGGAGATAAAACCTTTTGGCATTTTATGACAAATTTTACATTGCCCTCTTTATTGATTTATGTTGCAACGCAACGTGCTTACATATGGGAAACGTGGGCGCTTTAAGGGTTTGCCTCGAAGAAATATGTGCAAAACCGCTAGTTATTCGCAAGCAATTAGATACTGATGCGATAATGCGATCTTTTGAATTGCTCTCCGGTAACTTTTGCGGTTCGGTGGTTTTGAAAAGGATTTTGTCGTTTAGTTCACAGCCCGTGTTCGACGATTTCGTTGAGAATTTTATTGGATTTTATGTTTAGAAATTGGCGTTTTAGTAAGTCTTCGGACGGACGTTGACAATTTGAAGCCACTAAAGCTTGGTCAAGATTATTTTTACCGACGATTTGTATGTGATCCCCAAGAATAAGTGACTTTTACCTATCTCTTTAAAGAGGAAAAGTCACTCTCTGTAACTTATGAAGAGTTAGGAAAACGCTTAGCAAATATTGTGTTGTAATGTTAATTTCTATGCAGAAGATTCGTACTCATAAAATTATACAGTAGTAGGAAATTATTTATTTATTTATTTATTTTTATTTTTTTTATTTATTTGCCTTTATTTTTGAGTGGGCGGGGTTTCAGCCAAGGCTGCTCTACCAACCCAACCCACTATACATTTACAAAAATCCATGCCCGAACCCGGATTCGAACCAGGGACCCTTAGCACCACAGTCCAGCTTCAACTGAACTGCGCCACACGTATACGTGTTGTAACCAGTATGAAAAGTAATAATTAAGCGAGTCCTATTTAAATGCATTGGTGTCAGGTTAGGAAGGTACTTGGAATTCCTCTTCATAAATATTTATATGCCGTCGAAATCGACAGTAAAGTTCGTGTGCTACGCTTTTTCGACAACTTTTAGAGAGTTGCAAACTTGGGTATACACTACACCAATGGCCCCAAAGAACATTCTAAAAAATCATGTTTTGCGAATTTAGTAATTTTTTGTGTCGATTTTGACTGGCCTACATATTACCTATTTATTAATATGTTAGTCTTTCAAAATCACACATTATTAACTAGCGGCCCAGCTCATTTATGATTTTGGACTTTCTCCGTCCGTCTGTATTTTAGGTATTGACTAGAAGTTTCGCTCTGACGAATTAATTATGAAAACGTTTTTAAAATGATTCCGATTCTAACTTTATTTAGCCCATCTTTGGATATAGGCCTCTCCAATCCTTCCCAGAGTCTCCATTTCAAAACAACTTTATTCCATCGGTCATCTGTTTGTCTGGTATCATGGCCGGCGAATTTCCATTTTAGTTTTGACACCTCTTCTCTGACGTCTATTACTTTTTCTAATTCCTAATGCACTCGTTTCTTCTTTTATCTGACAGTTTGACGTGTAACACTTTTCATTGCTGTTTCTGGTTTTGCAATTTTATCCAATGTTTGGGATACGAGAACAGAGAGTACCTACACATTGAATTTGAATGTACATTTGGTTTTAAGGAGATTCCGATTAAAACGTAATCATAAAATGACTTTCCGAGTCTTTCGGATATTGTTAAAAATCGGTTTAAATCGTGAGAATTTCCATCAGAATTTGGAATTTCTTCGTCTGGGTGAGATGTTGGAGCTTTTTGAATTTTTTGAGTAAATCTTCAAGCAAAATTGCAAGTGCGATATAAAAATAAGCAAAAATGATTTGTAAAAAGGATGTTTGGTTCTTCACAAAGTCACTCTTTTTTGCAAGAAAGGATTACAGTTCCTCGTTTCTTCAGGATTAGGACTCGATTAACCCGTTGAAATTAAAATTTGCCCTTACGATACGATCAATTTCGACAATCTTATACTTCTCATAAAATGGATTTCAAAATTTATTAAAATCTTTATCGAAAAATTGAGAGGTATAGGTAACTGAGATTTGTTGGTAATGGTTATAAGTGCTGACATAAAATGTGAATACACAACTCTAGAAAATGTCAATTAAGGCGAAAACTGGAGAGCACGTTTATCTAATCCTAATGTTCATACCTCGCAATGCACTGGGGAAATATGAACGTTGTATTATAGTAAGTAGCGAAATGGACGGTGATCCATAATACATGTGAATATTAAAGTGAAGAGCTGTCAGGTTTTTACAATGAAAAATATAGCTCTTAAAACCTGAATAAGTAACTTATAGCAGATTTCGCTCAATTTTGTTTTCATATGCATAATACTGGATTCCTATAGTAATCTGGCTTATTATTATTACTTGTAGGACGGATTGGCACTGTACGTTTTCCTATATTGTTTATTGTGCCAGTAATGTTGCTATTTTTTCGTAGAATTTTTTGCGTGCACGATTGTATTCATGTATGAGGCTGTATACGTAGGTATACAAGTTCTTGTATGAAATCTGATTGATTGAAATTTTATGGCATATTTTAAGGGTAAAATTTACATCAGCTGCGATTTTCTATTATTATTGTGTGGAGTAATGGATTTTTTTGTCGCTTCTGTAGTAGCGGCAGGTTAAATATCCGACATTTTATGATTAAACGCACAGCCTCGATAGGTATGTCACAATAAGGGATCATAAAGGAGACCCAAGGAGAGCAATACAACAAGGGCCGATTTTTCTTGATTTGTAGACGAGTAAAAGGTAGCTTTTCTTGATTCACTCACAACTCAGAGAATAGTATAACTAAATTACATTTCTTCGGATTCTTTATTTCCATCAGAACCTTAGGAATCTTCGGAATTTCTCGTTTCGTCGAATAATCCTGTTTTAGATTTTAGTTCTTGACTTTAGTCAGATCCTTTAGTCCTTTTGTCTTTTAAAATGACGATGGTGATTGTTTCGTTGCTTTCAAAATACTTGAGATCCATAGCCTTTCCAGGTGTTAAGCTATTGTTCTGAATTATTCTATACCTAGATGCTTCCGTTTCTTCGAATTCGTCCAATTCCTAATTGTTAAAATCCTTCAAGTAAATAAGATTCTGAAAATTCATCGAATCTAGTCTACTAAGTATTTGGATTAATCGTGCAGACTGCAGATGCCTCGGATTTTAACGATTAGAGTTCTTTCAGTTATATTTTGCTTGGATTTCTTCGGAAGCTTCCGATTTTTCAATCAAGTACTTTGGTTTTTAAAATCCCTCTGCTTTTCAGTTTCCTTCAAATTATTTCAGTTCTTCAAATTTTCAGATGCGTCAAATTTATTAAAAACGTGTGAGACTTTGGTTGATGAGATGCAGCATAACTATAATAATACCTACGAAAGAAAAGGATTATAAGGCCTAGGTACTTCGTATATTTTGCATTTATCATAAAATTCAAATTAAAACAATGTATTTTTGTCAACAATAACAAGGTATAACTTTCTAGGCTTGAAATTGATTATGTATATCTTCGCAATGCAATCGACAATATGGAAAACTCAAATTGTTTTCAAGCGCCTATCGTAATAACACAAAAAGTGAAAGGGGATGGCAATGGCAACCTACGTCTGGGCGCTAGAATAATATGTGTTTTGGTGGTTATTACAAATCTAGCACTAAAACGTAATAAAAAGTGCTCTTTAATGATGTAACTTTACATAAGTCTAATGTGTTTACTAATGTTTAGCAAGCTAAAAGGAAAATGGTTTCATTTACTTTGTAATTGTTTCAGGGATTAGAGCTGAAGGGACAAATGGTATACTGTTCTGAATCCGACTCGATTCTTTTTATCGGTTCTCCCTTTTTGGATGGACTTGAAGGACTTACGGGAAGTGGCCTTTTTATCTCTGATATACCTCTCCACGATGCTACTCGAGATGTAATTCTTGTAGGGGAACAAGCGAGAGCACAGGTAAGTGATTTCGATTGTGCATACGTGAATATAATTAGATTCATATGGGTTTGGCGGGCGGATAAAGTAAGTTTCACTTATAAGAAATTCATAACAATTAGTTGCAATAATATACCTATATAACCTTTTGAAAATGAAGATTAATTTATGTCACATAACTGACAATGCGGGTGCCAATCCTGGCAGAGTGCCTAATGGACGTTGCGCTTACAGATTATTCAAAGCTATTAGTATCATTAACTGCATAACCTACAGGTTGGGTTCTCCCAAATGCATTTATTAAATCACAGATAGTATGTTCTGTGATTGAATCTATTGTTTACGATTTGTCAACCTTTTCCCCACTTTGGACAATCAAATTCAAAAGTAATTTAGTTCTTCGGGTTGGCGCACGTTAATCATTAGTTTTCCAGAATATTACATTTTTTAGAGTGACATACAGGTTGTTCAGCAATTAGCAAAGTCAATCATCAGATAGGTTTCTGAAAAATTGAGTAGGGATTACTACTTGATTAAATTTGATTTGATTTATTATTTAGTGTGATTGAATTTTAATTGAATTATTCGAGCTTTCGAAATTTATAGTAAATCCAACATTCCACAAAGTATACATTTCCCTTTTATAATACCAGCGAGGAGGAGCCATTAGAAACATTCACCTACTCATTGAGAGAAAAGTCGCCCCCAGTCCAAGTTGGTGATGGGAACTCGCCTTATGTCGTACCTACTGCACCTCATTTAAAGTCTCCCGTTTTCAAGGAAAATTCTCCTCTTGGATAGAATATACTCTCATAATCTGTTTTGCCGCCTTAAATCATTGTTGGGATCGCATACTTCACAATTCACAATCGAAAAAGTGAACGAATTCTTGATGCCATCCCAAACAAAGTTGCAAAAAATTCTTGTCTAGACAAAGATTGTGCTCATGTTTTACAAGGTGTAACATAATAATTGATTTAAAAGGTTTCCATGTGAGAACTATCTTTTTTAATGTGTCAAAAGATGACATTCTTTCCAGTCTTCCTACCCTTTTCTATGCAAATGTAGTTTATCTAGTTTATCTTTATATACATAGGGAATTTTATGTTTAGAGAATTTAGCCCACGTACGTACGTTAATAGACCAAAAAATAGAGGAGACCGCCCTTGTCCATCTTAATTAAGATGTCCGAAAATTTCATCCTGGCAGACGAAATAAACACAGCAATACGGTACGCTATTTTTTTACACTCTACTGCAATACATACTTTTTTAAATGCAATCTCAATAAACCTATACTTTGCTTCGTAATAAAAATTGTAAGTCAATTAACACTAGTATTTAACTTTGAAACGTGATCCCTTTCGAGTCCCTTTATATCAGGAGGGCAGGATGGGGCAAACCCTTAAAAACAGGAATTCACAATTCACAAATCAAATCCTAATTTTTGGATTTAATTCCCAGTTCTGATAATAAATCCCAATTGCAGTTCACTTAAAACGGAATTGTGACGAAAGTGGGTTCAGGGGTAGAATCCCGCAGAGAATGGTGCGCGTCCAATGGCCTTCCCTGTAAAATCTTCCCCAACATCCGTCACCTTACGTCCTTACTATCTAAAAAAGCGCCGACCCTCTTACAATGCAGGGGTCAGAGTGATTCTCCAATATCGGTCGGGCTGAGTATGACATGGATAACGCGCGTAGCGAAGGAGCGTCGTGTGAAGACTATCCCTCCCTTGACCAAGGTAGATGTGAAAAGGAGGTCTAATGGCCATAGTTCCTTCTCCTCAAAGGAAATAATGGAGATTTTAGGAAAGTTCCCCTTCATAATTTCTAAGCACTATCTGGTTTAGTCGGAAATCTCCCTAGCATCAGAGGTTTGTACAATTAGGTGAGACAAAACGATTTAAAAAAATTTAAAAACATTCAAAAAATCAGTTTTTGTAAAATTTATTAGTGACAAAATGTTCTACACGAATGGAAGTTTTGTGTAGGTGCACAATCGTACGTTCACACTTTAAAAATTATGTCTGAACAGTAAGTAAAGCAAAAACACCAACAAACCTCAACAGTAGTAGTCTGTCATCAGCGAACAACTCACGTTAATCCGCCCTATCATATTGAGCCAATTTTCTGGATAGCCCATTTACGGCGTTATAATCCATTAGATGGGGACATAATGGTTTCATTTACACTAAAGCAATGTAAATAATATTTGGAAAAAAAAATAAAAGAAAGCTCGTATTAGTTACAGGAAATCCGATCGGTGAAGTCCTACCCCCATCCCATTTTGCGTTGTGTGCCAATTTTCCTTCAGGACAGCATAAAAAACACTTTCGACTTGTATCGACGTCGAAGTAAATATTGTGGAAGCATCCGTACACCGCTAAAACTGATCCTGACAGCTACCGAAATTGAGCCATTCAACGATGAAATTCTCATTTTTGAGATTTATTTGTCGGAATAAATAAAGAAATAAATGGAAGACGCCGTAAATATGATTCGAGGAATTGAATCGATTGGGCCGCCGTTTCGTCCGTTATTCATTTTGTAGGAGGAATTTCTATTCATCTGATATTAATCCTTAATTGCATATTTATTTTGAACAAACAGAAGTTCCCCTTTGTTCGAATCCGTCTTTTATTCCTTGGGGCGGTTATTAATTGCACCTTGTGTTATTCTGCAATGAATACATTTCCCCATTCAATGAATTTCATTATGTATATATTGAATGCTGTTTATAAACTTATAGGAAGATGAAGTTGTAAACTATCGCTTTTGTGGAATGCACTTTCGAAAACGTTGCTGTTTATTTTTCCGTTCACTTTTGATTTATGATGCTTCAAAATTAGGTTTTAACATTGCGAATGTTCATTTCTTTTATATATAAAGATCACTTTCGAGTATTCCTTCTAGCCTAAAAGACTGAAATACGTATTTCATTTTTCATAAGTTATATCATCCGAATGCTGGTATTTGAATCATGCGTTTCTCAGTCTCAGAGAAATTGAACCTTCATCTCAATAATTACAAAGTATAGACTTTTTGACTGTTTGTGATTTATAGTAAAGTAACTTGAATATGCAAAATTCCTTTCCTTACTTGTACACGATAATCCGCGAACTGTTTCGAATTTTCCAATTCTGTTTTCAGTATAATGTTTATCAGCACCCAAGGAAGAACTGATTAAATGTTTAGTAATCTTTAGGAGCACGTTTGTTATATGTGTTACAGACGCACAAACGGACAGGAGCTCCTTATTGCGAACGTTGTAAAAAATTATCACTGTCAAACATATAATATTAGAATGTACAGAATACACTAATCAAAGGAAATTGTATAGCATAAAAGATAACTTAAAGGACGCCCTTGGTGAGGGACGCTCAAATACAATGTCATTCCTCAAAAACATATCTTTATTTGAAAAAATCTAACCGTACAAGAGCTAATGGCCTATTTTGCAGTCGAAGCTCTTTAATTATAAATAAAAAAAAAAAAAAAAAAACATTACACCTTAGTATTTGCAGGTATGATTAATAGCAATACGCAACAATCCAGTCCGGTTGACCCTCAATTGTGTTATCTATTGTAGCTAATATTACAATTTCACGTTAGTAGTTGTTAGAATGATACGAAAGTGTGTGCATCTACAAGTGCCCTCTATTTTCTAGAAAGAGCTTGAGTATAGGTGAGATTTTTAATTATTCATAAATTAGGTACTAATTAGATGTAACTCCAAACTGAATACTTATTACCATTAAATCGTGCAAATCTGGTTTAGTATCGTAATTTTCTGGAAAGGGAAATTTGAAAAACAACTGGATACATCCTGGGTACATACTTTTTCATGTTAATACGAAATTTATGGCCGTGTTTGTCGTAAAAATGTATGTAAAACTTAAGATTAGGCAACATTTTTGCTTTTTGGCGACATATCGGCTTTAATGCTATGAAAATTCAAACGGTCACCAACAAAAAAAAAATAATTTAGGAGGAAATTATTACCAATTTTTCCCTACGTACATTTCATCCGGGCCTACTTTTTAAATATCGATATCTCAATTTGTTTTCACTATTGACAATGATATAATCGCTCAGATGATTTTCACATTGTAATTCTTTTCAAACCATTAAAATTACACAATGCGATAGTAAAGATGACGTAAAGATCAGTTTGATCTGCTTGGTTTAATCACAGAGTATACCTATTTTGGTTTAATATACAAATTGCAATAATTTCAGCAAGAAAATTATCCACTAAACGTTAGCGTTTGTAATTCATGTACTTACGTACACAGTATAAGTGCGATGCACTTCCCAAGAAGTACTTACTACACAAAAACTGAAAAATCACAGTGCTTTAAAAAGACTAAAACAGGCGAAAGGCCGGAGGCGTAGAAAACAATTTTGATTTTGAAATGTTTACTAAGGCCTCAGAATTCAAAAATTTATATTCGAAATTTGTCACACAGTTTAAAGCTTAGGTATGTAAGACTTTTTACTTAGAAAAATTTTCAAGATTCTCAGTTATGCGCGAGGTCTGTGACTGTGGCACTATTAATGGTTAGAAATACCATGGGAAATCACAGAAAGTTTAAATCTTAAGATTCACAAGCGGTAATCATACACTCCTTAAATATAAAAATGCGAAATTTTAGAATTGTTGGAAAAAAATCAGTTTTCTCAACTAGAAAACTGTAAGTCTTTCAAGAACATTGTAGTTTATTGTCACTCTCTACGACTAACCAGGTGACATGGTATGACAATGGTCCAAATCTGTGACTATTATTAATAGTCACGTGTGATTCAACATCTTTTGGATAATTTGAGTACATATTTACTTTATTTTGAAAAATTCAGTAATCACAATTAAATTTTCTGATCGATCATTCTAATTTTAGTATTTTGTCTCCCTTTCCGTTACTTTACAATTTCAAAGTTGTTTTAGAAGCAAGGGTTTTCGAAGGTGGTTTGTATCCCTTTAAATTACCTAATAAAATCTCGTCATTTATAGGTGAGAAGCATTAAACTTGCGAATGTATTTCAAAGTCAAACAATACCTTCTATTTATTGTTATAGGTTCGCTATGCTTCCCTTCCTCATAAAAATAACACAAGATTTAGTGTACCTTAAAAGTAACGTTCGAACCAACCCTATAAAATTCTTATTATAAACCAGTAAGGATCTCATTTTATATCACGTTTAACATTCAGAATGGAAGTGTATTTTACCGATACATTTACTTTCAGGATGGTTTGAGGAGAAGAATGGATAAGCTTAAAAGTTCAATTGAAGAAGGAAATAGGGCCGTCGATAAGGAGAGGGAGAAGAACGTTAGTCTGCTACATCTTATATTTCCACCTGATATTGCTAAACGCCTGTGGCTCGGTACGTTATTTCCGGGACATTTATTTGTAAGACTAATTTGCGCAAATTTACACAGGCGAAACGATCGAAGCAAAGACTCACGAGGATGTTACGATGTTGTTCAGCGATATTGTGGGATTTACCTCGATATGTTCCACGACAACGCCGATGATGGTGATCAATATGCTTCAAAATCTCTACAGTCACTTTGATGCCTATTGTGGACTGCTCGACGTGTACAAGGTAGGCGTTATTATTATATCTTACAGCGACGCTAACCGGAAATTCGTTCTTTATTAAAACGTGATGAACGCGTTTTACATGATATTTCTAAAGGCTATACGCAAATCCTCCACTCATACTCGCGTCGTTAGTTTTCATCACGTTTCATAAGTAATCCATCGCGTTTGGCCACTATCAGTTTTCTCTCTAAATAAAAAAAAAGTGGCGTCGATCGTGGCAACGAAAGATAGAATTTTGAACAAGGTTGGCAGGCAATGTAGCGTTAAAATAACAAAAGATCAAATAAGATCGAATGTAGATTTCATACGTGACTGAATTTATCTTTGATGTTTTTCCCAGTGTGATTGGATAATGCGGCGATGTTCGGAATTTCTATTTGATTCCTTTCTTTCACCGCTTTAGCGAATCAAATCAAACTCTTTCAATTAAATTAAACGACTAATTTGAACTTTGTCTTGTCTCCAAATGGCAAATTTATACCTTTCTCGGAATTTTAATCGAAATCCGAAGTACATGTCCTACATTAATCAAATGCTACTAAGAAAACCAGAAAAATCCGAGTACTTACGAAGATATGCCAGAAAAACCGAAATTTGGCGATTTCGTTTTTATTTTTTTCTGGTGCTATTTGAATAGGGACCAAAAAATATAGAACACTTTCCCATTGCCACTTTTTGAGTTTTACCGTGCCGTACCTTACCGAACATTATTGTATTCCTAATAAACAAGTTGTAAATCAGCATATGCATGATTAAAGCGCATTTTTGGTCATGCAGGTCAGTATTTTATTAGCGAAGTTTAAAATTATCGATCTCACGAGTAATTTTGGGTGCGTTAAATAATTAATTTTATTTAATTTCAATTGACGGTACGTCTTCATTTTGTAAAACAAATCACAAAGTAAATAATAAGTTTTTATACTGGTAGCGCTATCTAACGGTAAAATTATAGCACCTCCGAAACCCATATCGAAATTATTTTCTTCAATTATCGATCTCACAAGTAATCTAACTCAAAATAGACTAGTGCCTGCACATCTACACTATAGCAGAAAGCTTTTAGTGAAAATTTGAATTCTCTAGCTATTGTAGTTGTGGAGATCTCACGCGGACAGCCGGCCTGCCAGCAATAACGAATATATTAGCGTATTTTTTTTTCAAAAATGCGCTAAAAAATGCTACTCGAATACCTACAGTGTGTACTTTTTTTAGAGCCATATGAAATATTAAGTTGATGATGATTTTTCCGAAACGAAACGTTGTATAGAAAAATCTCATCGTCATCTTAAAGCTCAAAAAGTGGTAATGAGAAAGTGTTCTGTTCCTAACAGCCTTTACACGGACTACAATTTTACCTAAGGGAGGTTGGTTATGAACGGGCTTTACGAATGGTTTTTTGCGCTTGTTATATATAGACAAAAAACAATTTTCACTATGTAGCCAATTTTTCACCTAACTTTTATCAATGATTTTTTAACTGCGGGGGGCTGTAACACTTTTATGAATACGAAACCCAACGACAAAGTTCAATGCCCTTTTTATCTCACCCACATAACATAATATTGGCGCCCTATAGGTTCTTCTTAGCCGGTTACGGCTGTTTAATTTTACGCGACGGTAATCTGTCTACCCCATTGGTCAAATGTTGTATCGCAGTCATCTTTTCCCTGAGCATAAGATACCAATCGACACGTTCGTATCAATTACTTTATTGATGTTAGTTTCGTTTAATTGTAGATGTACTTAACTCGAGTTCTGTGGAAAATAACCGCAATCACAAGTTAGTTTTACAATGACCGAAAAATGCAACTTTCCTTCTGGCAAAGCTCGCACGAAATTTATCGTAGCAACCGAATTTCTTTTAACGTAATTGAGCAACAAATTCTTTTGTGGCTTGACCCGTAAAAATCAAAACTGTGAACTACAGAATGCCTTAACATTTTTCTTCCAAATTAACCCCCCTACTCTTTTTTAAATAATTAACCCGTTTTTCAACATGGCGTGCAAGAATGTTAGAACAAAATTGATTGGTGGTTGGGGGTTGTAGACCCATAATGCAATTTGTAGATAGATCTAGCTTTCTTTTTTGCATAAGTTACAGGTTTTTTCGCAAGATTACACATTGATTCTAAAAAGTGATGTAAAAAACCAAAAAATAAACTAACACCCTTTTCTTTAAAATTGGCCAGAAAACTATGTTAGTTAGGGTGCCGAGACACTTTATTAAGACGACCAAAGAATTAACATAAACCGATAAGACGTTAACACTCATATTCTGGGCCACAATGGCAGACCCCAGTATCATAACCAACCTCATTATAATCTTGCTCTAATGCGGCGGAATCTTCCCGGGCTTCAATAAACTCCTGTTCTTCCATCCCCTCGCTGACAAACCAGTGAACAAACGCACGCTTTGCAAACATCAAATCAAACTTCTCATCGAGGCGCATCCACGCTTTGGAAATTGCCGTGGTGTTTGATAACATGCAAACGGCCCTACTCACTTTCGCCAAATCCCCGCCCGGTATCGTCGTTGGTGGCTGGTAGTTTATACCGACTTTGAAACCAGTCGGACACCAGTCGACGAAATTAACGTGTCTTTTATTTCTTATACTGCCTATGGCGGCGTTGACGTCTTTTGGGACGACGTCGCCTCTGTAAAGCAAGCAGCACGCCATATACTTTCCGTATCTTGGATCGCACTTGACCATTTGATTTTTCGGCTCGAAGCACGAGCTGGTAATTTCGTTAACGCTCAATTGTTCGTGGTAGGCTTTGTTCGTATTGATCACTGGCGCGTATGTCACCAAAGGAAAGTGTATTCGTGGATACGGCACTAAATTGGTCTGAAATTCGGCAAGGTCTACATTGAGCGCCCCCTGAAAGCGCAAAGATGCCGTTATCGACGACAAAACCTGCCCGATTAGCCTGTTCAAATTGACGTAGGTGGGACGCACGATATCCAAGTTTCTCCTGCAAATGTCGTAGATCGCCTCGTTGTCCAGCATGAACGCGCAATCGGAATGTTCTAACGTGGTGTGGGTCGTGAGTATGGAGTTGTAAGGTTCCACAACCGCCGTCGATATCCGCGGGGCGGGATAAATGGCCAGTTCCAATTTAGATTTTTTACCGTATTCCATCGTGAGGCGTTCCATTAGGAGCGAGGTGAATCCCGATCCGGTACCTCCGCCAAATGAATGGAAGACTATGAAACCTTGAAGACCGTCGCATTGCTCCGATAATAATCGTAACCTGTCGAGCAGAAGGTCGATTATTTCGTTCCCAAGCGTGTAATGACCGCGAGCGTAGTTATTGGACGCGTCCTCTTTTCCGGTAATTAGCTGCTTTGGGTGGAAGAGGTTTTGATAGGTTCCCACTCGTACTTCGTCGATGACGGTAGGCTCCAGGTCAAAGTATACGGTCCGGGGAACGTATTTGCCCGCGCCGGTTTCGAGGAAGAAGGTACCGAAGCTATTGTCCCTGCCCCGTATGCGCTGACCGGGAGGCATTTGGCCGTTTGGGTGAATTCCGTGTTCGAGGCAGTATAACTCCCAACAAGCATTGCCAATCTGCACTCCTGCTTGGCCTATATGAACCGAAACAACTTCTCTCTAAAAATAGAGCATGTAATATCAAATTAACCATTTTTCTGTTACCATTATGGTAAGCGATAACCTACTAAAATTTTAATGTTGCAGTGCAACTTTCAAAATGACAGATGAAAGGTTACTAAGTGTGAACGGGGCTTACACTTGTGCCTTGGTTTACTCAACCACGATCACACTTGAATCGGTTTAATTTTATTTCAATAAGCACTTCGTACTGTATTCGTTTTCTTCAGTGTTTGATTGGGTCTAACGAAGTCAAAAAGGCAACTTTAGGTTTCACATTGAAACTGAAAATTGAGTTTGAACTTTCATTTCGCTTGAATTTCAAACTGAAACGAAGAATTCCAACGTTTGGCGCAATTTATAATGGACATAAAGTGGACACACAATCTAATCAGCTACACTTAGCCTCAAGGAGTTATCCCATTAAATACCCCCAAACAAAAACTCCGGGACCAGCAGGTCCTTCTCCGAAAATATTCCAAAATTAAGTTGAAGGTTTAACGCCTCTTGATCCGAGAATTTCGCTTGTTTAAAACATGGAGAGAAGATTACGAAATATCCACTGTATTTCCAAGATAAAAATGAACATCATGGGGAAATCTGAAACAGTTAAAATTAAAACGGTTAAATTAGTAATAGTTGTGTATTTTAGGGCTTAGTGAAACAGTGTTTTAAATATGCGGAAATTGCGATCAGTATCGAAGATATTCTAAAAAATGTGACAGAAAAGCTTCCTAGCTCAGCTCAGACCCAAAAGCGCTCTTCACCGTTTAACGTCTTCGTGCGATTTTTTTTTTACTTTTGTTTTTGTTTATTACTAATACTTATTATATTAGTTATTACTACGAGTATATAATAATTAATTTATTATCTAAAGTCAGTAAACACAAAGCTCCTTATTCAATTCAATCGGCATGTAAGAATAAGAATGACATTTTACAACTTATCCGCTTAAGTAGAGGGTACGACACCGTCATTAAGTTGTCAATGGCCTTCTTTTTTGTCGGCGGCCTGGTGCATATGCTATATATGGGTCATTTTTCCTTACAGTATTGATATTAACTCAGGTTTCAGTGTTTAAATCTGTGATATTAATTAATCCGGGGTAAATAAACAAGAGCTTGATTTTTAATTGGATAATTTTATTTTTACACGAAAGTTTTGTTGCAATGGAAAAAACTAGAGATCAAAAGTGTGATAAAATCGTGACAGTTCTAGCTGGAACGATTTTTTCTTATGGTTTTGATCGAGAGTTCTTTCCAGGAGGCAACAAAATTTGAGTGAATTTAAAAATAAAATTATCCTGATTTAAAACCAAGATCGAGTGTATTTTAGGAAGATTAATAAATAAATTTCACAACCACTATATATTTTAGCCTTCGTACACGTATTTTATCGCTGATAAAAACCTACCTAGCTTTTAATCACTTAAGAAATCATCTGATTGATTAGAATTTGAAACAATCACCAAGCTGATTGGTCGTACATTAATGGAGTGTATTAACCATTATAAAAACTGCAGTATATATACATGTACACAGATATTTTAACATAGGTATTGATATTTTACCTTAAGTTTTTATATTAAAACCAAAAAGAACGCAACGACCGAACTAGATAGTTTTTTAACTGTGGTATTTTTTCTCCGCTTTTTATAATAAAACGTAGCGTAATTTTATTGCACACAAAAAGAAAGTCTTTTGAATAATTTAATAAAAATATTGCCTTGTTATTTGAAAAGTGGCAAGAATTTTGCAAAATTTGCTTTCCAGAAAACAGTTGAGTTTGCCGTATATGAAAGTCTTGCGTATTCCGTTCCAAATTTGCCTTATACCATTTTTGTGTTTTTCACTTTCAGAACGATTCGAACACACAAAAATAAAATCAAGCCAATATACATATAACCATAATAAAGGCACATCAAATTCATACGTAAGGCCTCAATTACAGGCATCTATTTTTTGTTCAATTTTAGGCCTTACCGTCACTGGAGTTGAGTGGTACATTATGCCAATTTTAAAATCAGTCCAAATAGGAATACATCTTCAAATTCAAATATTCTACTCCTTTAGAACTCAACAAGTCCTGAATTAATGGAAAATTTTCTACGTAAGTATAGAATAAGGGGTTGGATCTGAAACTCTGGAAAACTGCATAATTTTTCATTCGATATTATTCCAATGATTGAAGTTGGTTTTTTTGGGATTTGGAAAAGAACAGTAATTGGTTTTCGCTAAATTAGGTCAGTTTAATGAGGTCCGTTACATCTAACTTGTTTATTTGAAACGCATGTTGATCAAGTAATGTCGATAAAGGTGAGTAATCGGTTTGGTCCGACACATGCATTGAATAGAAATAACCCGTTAGAGGTGATAACGCTTAATTTGGAATTTATTGTTAGTAGTCAGGTTGTGATCGCGTTTCGGGTTGGATTGTATCGACGTCCTGTCGTTTGCCCTTACTAATTTTCGCGATATTAATTAGCCGTAACGAATTAAATAAACTATTAATTGTGCTAAGTGAATGTGCAACAGGTTTGACACCATATTCACAAAAAAAGGTATGGAAACCAAAATCTTTACGTAATCTTTTGAAATTCGGGTAAAAGGCTTTTTATAGTTTATTTAGGCGTATGTACCTATAGCCTGGAAAGTGATTTGTTTCGTATGTGTATCTAAATTTTTATTTAAATTAATGAAAGTTCAAAATTAAATTAATTTTGTTGAACCAAAAAACGAAGGAAATATTTCCCTAAGAAAAATTGTACTCGATGACTTTGTCAGTTAGTATCTTAATTTGACATTCAAAATTTCGTTATATGAAACTAGAATACTGGTTTTTATTGATATGGGAAATTATTTATTTTTTATGGATTACATTGGACTGCTTCTGCAAGCTCCACACTCCACTCTACTGCAATAAATTACGAATTTTAAACTTGTAGTTATTGAAGCTGTGTGCCTTGACGTCAGTTTAGGAAATTCTCTGCAGAATTTCGTTTTTTAACTACAGCTCGTAATCAAAATTAGTCTTTAATTAGAAAAATCGTCAAACATTTTAGCATTTAGCATTTCACCTTTGCATATCAGTACGATCGTGAAAGATTATAATGTAGATGTCTTATCCAATTTATAATTAGTAAATAATCCACTGAGCCAACGCTCTACTAACTTTAAATTACCTCCCCACTTTTAATTTAATATAGCTAATTAAACACATTGTTAAAAAGGAATCTATTAATAAACATCGATTATATAATTTTTTAATCAATGACATAGATTAAATTCTGGGATATCAGAGAGAAGTTCGCCGCCTCACCTCCAATTTTAGAAGTTAATAAAGCTACTCAAAATAATATAAGTAGCGGAGATCTAAAATTTACTGTTTTAAATCACAATGTGGATCCCTATAGTTTCAAATTCTGGTATTGAATCACAACGTGAGCTGCGAACGCAAACGTAAATTTGGTTTAAATCGTTATTTACAGGCTACACCTTGGGTGGTGTGTTTTATTTCTAGGTCCATCAACTTCCAACTTACACACAAAATTAGTCGTTTATTTGATTATAATTGTTGTCAAAAGACTCGTCGCAATTTAGAACATGAACTTTGGCATTAAGCACAAAATTCGTCATTTAAAGATCAGATGAGGGTTCAGTTGGGAGTTTAGGAACTTAAATTTCGAACTTAAACACACATTTCAGTCGCAACATTATTGACATACAGCGCGAGTGTAAAATCTGGAACTAATGTAAAAATTAACGTGTTCGAGGATTTTTTCAAAAAAGTTTACGCGAAGATTTATTTGATAGTTCCAGACTTCCAGGCCCCGTGGATTCTTCCGGAATTTTTCCCGAAATTTTGCTCAAAATTCATCAATTTCTTAACTTAAAAATCAAATCTTTATAGAGCGTCGTCACTCAACAAAGGTATCCGATTTTTAGGTAATTAGAAGAGCGCATCGTCTAATTTTTCGTATAGAGCTATCCATTTGTATTGTCCGTTAGAAAGTCACATGCTTCAAAGTATACGCTAACCGATTATAGCTCTTCATGAAAAATTAAAAGATGCGTTCTTCGTAATGGCTCAAATAGGGTGCGTATTTTGTTGAGGCAGGCCTAGATAACAATTGGGAAATTTGTTCTAGTTACAAATTACCTGTTAACATCTTTAATTATACCCATTTTCAGTTAAATGTTGCAAATAAGTCTAATTGCCCGTTAAAAGTAGAAAATAGAATTAAATCTCTTGTAAAAAGGAGCCATCAAAGATATATATGTCTTTATACGCCCTCGTAGCACAAAGATAACGTGAATTGAATCCAGCGAATGTATACCAATAGTTAGGAGCAGAATAAATAAAGCGCGCACACAGATGTGGAAAAATAATCAAATTTACAGCCGATTACACTGCCTTTCAGACAAAGGTTCAATACGGTCTGATTTATATCCACAAACACAAAAAATGTCGATAAAAACCCTGTTTATTTTAATATACTTTCGAGAATGGTCCCAGTACTTTAAACTTCTTATTCGCATTGGTTAGCAAGTGCCTCTATAAAGTGTAAATTCCGTTGAAGCTAGAATTTTCAGTATTTAATACCTACTAGTGCGGTATTTAGGGCAACATGCGGGTAGAAATGTACATTCCCATTGGACACCGAAGCGCGCTTTTTCAATTTTCTATTCATTTTCCACTCGAACTACGTGATTGCATTATGGTTGATTCATTTGCATATCGCATTTAAAGCAAAATTTGTATTTCGAGGGAAGACTGTGATTAAATAATAATGTATTGCATTTTCCCATTGTAAGTTACTTCAATTTCATTACGTATGAGGTTCTTAAAAAGAACAGTGTGAAGATTTTGCCAAAACATTTGTCAATAATAGGAAATCGTTAGAGGCAGTTCTGATTCCAAAAGGAATGAGTGACACGGCAATGCGTATAATCCTTGTTTGTATTCGTATACGTGCACTATCTGGACCAAATTAGGTTACACGATTTTCTGACCGTTTGTGACTTTTATTATTTATATGACGTATCAGCCAATTTTGGTTAACTTTTAATATGTATAGGAGCATTCTGAGTTTTGGCTGATGCATTTTTAATTTTAAAATTAGTTAAAATTCTCTAAATAGTATAAAACTTATGTAA